GTGTTGTCGAGGTGTTATCCTCTTAAGAAAGAACTAAGATGTAATAATAAAAACTTTTACAACTATATATCTATTTAGCAAAGACAAAATATACTTAATGTAGTCGTTTAAAATGATTAGTACGTATATGTTGAAAATGAATTCATAAAAAGAAAAGTGTGTTATTATTAGTTTTTGAGATGTAAAATAAGTAAAATGTTTAACTAATGAGCGGTTACATAATTAGGTCATCTAGGTAATACAAAATCTGATTTAACGTCGTTAGTGAATGGATATGTAATGAAAAAATGTTACACCACTGTGATTCTTTTGCCATGTTCAAGGTCAGGTTGAAGGCTTTCAATGATAATTATGTTTTCAATAATAACAGATAGACAAGAGTAAACAGATTTTAGTTTTCACTCTAATTCTCAGTCCACTTGTCAGTGGACTGAGCCATGTTGGTAGGTGTAGACTAACTGGTTGGGATCCGTGAGATGATAGCAATCGATGGTTAGAGACCTTGAATGACATGGCTCAAAATCGTTTGCAATGGCGAAGGTGCATCCACTGTTTGTATTCTACCAAATTCTAATCTTCTGAATTCTTTATGTACCTATCCTTTTTCTCTTTCCAAATTTATTTCACTGGATTATACTCCTTGAATAACATCTTCAAACCCTAATCATTCACATAATGCTTATACTCTTACTACTTGTACCACTATGGGATTTGAATCGACAACTGCATCTCTGTGTTAATGTGGTATGACAACTCGAACTGATGTACGTACGTACGAAGTTCTACGTTGTGACTGACTGACTGAATTCTCATAAAACAGTTATACACAGTAGCTCATATTTTTTAATAATCTCTATATAATCATATGATGTCTTTTATTTGTGAAGCAATTGTTCCTATTATTCTTTCAAAAATTCCTTTTTTCTTTGTATATTGTTGCATCACATCCTGCTTGACTACTGAAAAATTTATTTTACCAAAAAATCTAAAATTCTTCACGTTATTAACTATATTGCATTGTACATTATCAGTTCTATAAAATTTTGAAATTCAACTGTACATCATTATTGTATTGCAATTACAGTTTACTATATCCAGAAACTATTTGGACTCGATAACCAATGTTATAGATTCACCTATCCGAATTCACTATTCTACCCCATCAGTAACCTAAATAATGTAAATAGATTGAATTTCGCCCCCTTCAACCCAACGGTTGAATGTGGAATGTTTTAACCATTGGGTTATTTAACTCCATCTTAAAGATTGAATTAAACGCATATTGAATGAAAATTCTTCTTATATGTAATCGTATCACTAGTGGAACTATCGAAATAAGAGACAAACGGAAATTTTCGACTAGTCTACCTAATCAGTTTTATACTATGCGTGATATTATTAACTTTTTTTAAATAAGTATAGCTTCAATATGAGAATTATGCTCATCGTTATTGATTTTATAAATATGGTGACAATATCTGTGCAACTGAACGCTTTAAAACATTGTCGGGTATGGCAACAAAATATCAATCAGTTTGCAATTCTACTTACTAATTTTTATTGTCTAATGTACAAACAAGATTTGTTTTAAATGAAATCAAATCTAACCCTGTTTATTGTTTTTTTTTAAAAAAATCAAAAGATCTTCCATTTAATAGATTGATGAGTTATATTTCTTTCCAATGTTTTACATTGTCTTTTGTTATGTGTGTTCTTAGTTCTATATTTCCCAATAGAACATAATAATTTTTAGTAACAATCTTCCCACATTTGGGTTATACACAGTGGTAAATTGCCAAGTTTTAGGTCCGTTTAATCAGCATTCTATTTAGATACAATATAACTTTAGACAGCTTGTGATTACCGTATAAATATCAGAAAACTTTAAAAAAGATGTTTGCTTGTTTATCAAAACTGAATTATCAGATTTAATTTGTATATTATCGAAAAAGCTAGGTCCTGTCATCTTGATAGGAAATTGCAGAACATTTTGTGTAAGAGGTTGTTGAATTTTATAGTTTAAATCACTAACCGGCCTTAATTGATAAAGTGTTGGAAACCAGGAAGCATCCGATAACTGCTTCATCCTTACACTAAATCTTGATCGGAACGTTTATGTATATTGGGGTTTCCAATCGGCCTACAATACTTGGGTATAAAAGAACGATTTAGCTATACTAATATGGATGGTTCTACTGTGAACTTGATAATGGCAGCTGGCACGCAATAATTCAACAATTAGCCGTTAACACTAGAAGGCAAAGTATATGGAAAACTTAATATTCAACCAAAACCAAACATAACAACTTTAAATGGTATAATTCAGTATATATAGTAACAAAAACATGACTTTCAAGCATACAAAAAACTAACGAACAAAAGTTGATAGCAACCGATCAAAAAGGCAAGCTGAATCTGAAAGAAAAACAGTTAACATTTATAGTAATCCTAAACGTTATTACCAAAAAATCGGATAATCTTGTCATTGCTTTAGAACATAGTAGGACACTTATCAGGCATTCCCGAATCTACTGAAAATTTTCACGTCCCATGGAGAGTACTTAACCTGTAGACCACTTAGTCGGCATCCAATGGTTTATAGTAGTTTAGGGGTAAAGCATTCGCTGCGAGACTCGAAGATCTTGGCTTCGATCCCTAGCGGAGTTATGAACGCTCACTGACTAGAAGTCCCACAATACGATGAAAAATCTATCCAGCGCTCCTTGGTCTTCAGTGCTTGTTTAACTACGATCTGTTCGTCATTTAATCAGTACTATTCTTCAAAAGTTTTGCTATGTATTTCGGTTAATTATTTATTTCATGAAATGTATTTTCTTAGCAAAGATTGATAGTGGCTAATGTTTTATTCTATTTGGGACTCAGCTGGATATAGCTGCATCTCAGGTTTAATGTTTACTCTGGGACTCGAACCCAGTATCGTTTGCTTCGAATGCCATCATATTATCCACTTAGCTACTGAGTCCTGATAGCTACTTGCACAAGTAATGAGCGGACAGTGAGACTTGATGACTGTAAATTCAGTCATTCCCATGAGTATTTATCACAGTCTGCTGAAGATCTTAAACTAGAATGGAACATCTATTCCGGTGAATATTTCACTTTTCAATGGTCCATAAGCTACGGTCAGTCCTTCACAGAAACTATCTCAGAATTGAATTATAAACAGAGATGGATGGTGGATGGTAGTAGCGGAATCCTAAACATCAATAGGAAGATTCAAACGATCAATACAAAAATGAATTAAATTTCACATCATTGCATAAGCTAACGACTATCTGGACTTGGTAGCTAATTGGATAACGTGATGGTATTTGGAGTGAACGGTGAATATCAATACTGGAATGTAGATACATCCGACTGATGATTCCCAAATAGAACGAAATGTGTGTGCTAGATTTCACTGCTAACCACTATCCATCTCTGCTTATAATGCTTGAGACTTCAGGCGATTTCGAGTCAATCTATACAGGATGCACATATGTCAATAAGAGACTTATCAATTACAGTCCTAAGTACCATTCAGAAAATTGAAGTATAAAAATACCAAGTAAATGTATTTTGTTGTTTAATATTTAGATTATGAAGGAGGTTCAAGAAGAACAAAAACGTGAATTACGCATCATACAAGATCGTGAAGTGAAAGAAATGAAAGCACAACAAACTAAAGCTTCAATTGAATCAAACCGTTCTGTAATGAATGATCGAAAACTACGTAATAAAGCAGAACGTGATCGTCGTATACGCGAATTAAATGATTATAATACAAAACGATTTATTGATCAACGTAAACTACAAGCTCAACGACATGATAAACAAACACAAGAATTAAATAAACGTCATACTTTAGATGAACAAGAAATCATCAACGGAATTAAAAAGGTAATAAAATTGTTTTCTTTTCAATTGAATTCATCAAATTTTCCAGTAATCTTTTTGATATAACTAGTGATTACAATATTTTCCCTCTCGTACTACACGTCAATAAGACTAGTCACGTTATATGAGAACCAGGATTCGCGAACTAGAAGAGAGAATCAGATTAGCATTAGAGAATATTTTACTCAATACAACTACGAGCAGTTACACTGTGAGTCCGGAGTAGAGATGATTAGAAGGAAAATCGCATATTTAATATTCTATAGGTTGTGGCTGTTTGTCCACTCTCAACGACCAATCATATTTTAGTATCACTAACCACATATCAACTCTTTGTTTGATAGCGCTTTTTTTAAAAAATTTTCAATCAGAGCATTGTGTGACAGCACTATGCGATTGTGTTGTATACGTGAATTAGATAAAAAATAATTACGAGTTATCATGGACACCTATTGTTTAATAGTAATCTTGATTATTACCATATCAACCACGTGAAAATTTTCTGTATCCTTTATCATCTTTGCTTCGTAAATGTTGGTACATGGTCAGCTATTTTGATGTACAATATTTGTATCTAATAAAATTCATGTATACAAGCTGTCTGAAGTACTACAATAATTTACCATATAAACTAATGAGCTGACACCATTTTATGAATCTTTTCATTCATTTATTCATCTTATATTAAATAAGATTGAATTTTATTAAAATTGTGAAAGAATGACCCAATAAGAGTAGAGAATAAACATCCATCATCCTCTATTGCCAAACATATAATCGAAACAGGCCATAAGATTGATCTTAACTCGGCTTTTGTGATGTTGTATTAAAGTGTAAAAGGGCGTATACTGAAGCCTTGGCCATACGAAAATTCAAACCCCATTTGTGTATTCGAAAACAGTTTGTTCTCACCTTAAACCTACCCTGGTATTATCAGCTTATTATCCAGAGTGATTAGGTTTCAAATTGTTTTCACACTATTTTTGTTATTATTATCCTTGTTTCCTCTTACCCCATCTCCAGTCCAGTTGACCTATTATTTTTATATATAAGTGTTCTTAACAAGTATATGTGTAGTCAGATTGTTCGAAATGTATTGCGCTAATATATCATATAGTTCTAATAATATTCGTCTTATTATTACACTATCGGAAGAAAGTTTGATATTACGGACACGTTTAAAATAAAAGCAATTTTGAAGTAAACACTTTTAGTGTATTAACTAAAAGACAGTCATGCTTCTTCTATACAATCTATATTTATCTTATACACTTTTTTCCTTTACACTCTCGCCAGGAACGTGAAGAATTTATCCGCAAATATGAAGAAGATCTTTTAGCTTTGAAACGTGCAACTGTCATCTAAATTCTCATTCAATAACAATAGAAACAAGCATTTCTTTCTGATCGATTTTACTGCATAAACAGATTTCAGTTGTTTTGGTGTTCGTTTATTTGCTCATATCATTGTTCTATTTATTATTATTCCTCAGGGTGAACACTTCCGTCGTCTTTTTCTTCTTATCTGTGTTGTGATGTGACAGGTGTTTATACTATTTTCTTCAATGTATCATTCTAGTGTTCATGACATAAATTACATTAGTACTGTTGTCAGTGTCTCAAAATTGATTAAGACCAAAAACACAGTACTCTTAATGTTATCATCATTATTCTAATCTTTATTTCTGTGTTGATAAAGTTAAATTTCTTATTATTACAAATTTCAACTGCTCACTCCACTAATCACATATACACTCACCAAACATAGTTTTGTAAACGTTTGCATACTGTTATCACTAATTATGTATTGTGACTAGTAGTATATAGTGGATATCAACGAAAAATTTATTGTACTAATGTAATTGATCTATATCAATTTTATTAATTTCAAGTAACTAGTCAATGAGTTTCGTCAGCATTTCCCAAACTAGAAGCCGACCATCTTTTTTTGTCAAACAACAGATTGTTGTACAATTTATTCCCTCACCTCTTCTTCTCATATATACACTCTTCTGATAATTATTTTCCACCGTTATGTGATTGATATAAATGCTCGGTATTCGTATAATACGTATGAATCTTCGAGTTGAAAAGTATTATGTCTGTGATATAACTCGCTATCTTTATTACTTCCGTTCGTTTAAACTATCGAATTTTTTTTGTTACATATGTGTGTACACAATTTACGGTTGTTTACGCACTCGTATATATATACGTATATGTTTACATCATATAGTTTGAATGTGTTCTGTGCAATAAACATTTTTTTCTACTCACATTTGAATTAAAAGAAAAAACACTAGTACTTTCTATGTTTCATTTAGAATGTTGTCTGAATAATAATTATAATATTGAAAATATTTACGGTCATTTTTATTTTGTTGACAAATCACCTTTAACAACTAGACTGTACTATTTACTGTTAGATTGTATGTTTATTAAAATTGTAAACAATGATGATAATAATAATACTAATCAATAAAAGAAAACAGGGATCAAATTCATGCGTACGTATGTTGAAAGTGCACACGGTGTTTACAATACAACTAATAACTGCCCTGTCTACACATGCACACACACACACATATTTTCATTTATAAACATTTAGAGGAATTATTTTGTATGACTAAAGCAAAGACAAACACAATCTGATAGATAACTCGAAAGTTACCATTTTGTCATTCTTGTGATTACTATTGTTGTAATTTTTTTTTCGTCTAGTATTATAATTGTAATTTACATTTATGAGAAAGAAAATATTTTATTGGCCATATTTTGTTTGTTGTTTTGTATGTAAACTTTCAACAGGATTCTACATATTCTTTCAATTCCTTTGCTTTCATGTGTGTGTGCATGTTTCGAACTTGTAATGGATAATTACTGTATTTGTTTTTAATGTGAAGATTCTTTTTCTACAATAACTAATACTAGTATTCATTTATGAGTAGATAGATAGATTATGCATTGTTAATGAAAAAAACAAACAATAACAACAACTCAGAAATAGATAAATAACGAATGTTACGTATTATTCACATGTTGTGTGACTTCCATGATCACACTTATTCCACTTTTCTTTAAAAAAAAACAGAACTTCTCTATCTTGTCAATTCATTTCTCTCTTTTTCAATTGATATAATTGTTTTGTTTTTCTCTTATTTATGTTGTCTTTACTAAGAGATAGAGTAAAAGAGAAACATCAAATATTACGAATAACCTTTCCCTCGGAAACTGGGCCATTTTTTTAAAGTGGCTGGATCTTTCTTTTTCATTTTCTTTCTTTGTTTCTTACCTCTGTCTTGTTGTTGTTACTGTCTGTATGTACATTGTCTTTCGATGAATTTGTTAATAAACAAACTATTCCTACTACTACTAATAATAATACTAGGTGTATAGATATATACTACTTATATTTGGATATAATTGCTAATTATTCCACAAAATAAAACATATTCGGACAGGTTGTTTTGTTCTATTGTTATGTGACTTGGTATAAGCCCTCATAGTTATTAACACTAGATTGTATTATGATTAACATTTACAGCGTAGAATATTAGTGGTAAGATTAAAATTAAGTATGAAAATACTTTGTTGTGATGTAAATGGATCAACGGTATTGCAAATAATTGTTGAGTATTTATACATACTGCATCCACGAGTACTGCTAGACCAGATAAAAATCTTCAGCAAATTATGTTGTGTAAGACAATTTACTGTAACAACAACCCAGAGCTATCATAAATTATTGACTGAGAACATGAGATACTATCGATAAAAAACTTTATATGCATTTTATTATCTTAGTTTTAACCCACTTTCTCCATACATTTATATTATTTTACATTCTAAGAAATACGAGAAAGTAATGCACTCTTAATAAACTTTCAGATGCATGCAAAAAGTATGCAGCTCAAGTTCAAATATCCCTTTATTAATGTTTTATATTTGAATCCATCAACAATATATAAACACTACGAACCCCCAATTATTTATTATTAAAATTGAAAAAATAAACAGCAAAATGCATGACAAAACATAATATTGTTAACTAATAGTCTTTAAGAAAACTTTAGTCGATAACATTAATAACAACTAATCCATTATTCATTAAGTGTGGTAACAGACTTAACTGCTTTCTCTGTAGAGTTTGCCTTTGTGGAAATTGGATTAGATGATTGTTGTTTCTTGGAAGGTGCAATCCATTTAAGTTGATCAACTGAGGGTAAATCAGAATGAAGGAAAGGACATTTAGTACGATTAGTGCAACCAGAACCATATCGACATGGAATTTGGCTATTGAAAACAGGGACAGTTGAAGCTGAACTTCGAACAATGATTGGAGGGGCTTGAACAACAACAGGTGGGTGGTAAAATTGACAGTGGGGATTTGTACATCTGTTTTGGAAACGGCATACTATTTGAGCTGGGTTGGCAGATACCACAGCTATAAAAACGCAAATATTAAAATAAACAGATAATTACAATCAGTAATTAGAAAAATTCATACTCGCTTTAACGTAACATACATTAATCAACAGAAGGTTTTGTAAACCCCCCCCTTACACATACTAATACGTGAAAATTAATACTGATAGATTAATTCTACAACGTCTATAAGATAATAACAAAGAAATTGGAATGTTTAAGTAATAGTTCTGACTAGCAATATCAAACTCATTAATTCAAATTAATTTACTGATGATGCGTAGTTATGTTAGACGTACACAGGTTGTTTCTAATGAAAATAGACTTGTTATTATTACATGGGAAATAATGTCTCGAATTTGGACGGCATGGTCTAAAAGTGTTTGTCACGATGCTTAGTTAAACATTAGTATTTGGTCAAAAACATAGTTTTCATTCCAGTTAGACAATGGGGGATGTAATCATTTGAACAAGTCCATAACTGTGCTAGGTTCTTCCTTCATTCTAACCTTTGTTTTCCAATCTTTCAAATTTTCACTACGGACACAAATGTGGTGTTGTTATTATATGAAGTGGAATTACCAAGTATTACTTTAGTAAATAACATCAACAATTAAACTATCGATAGATGGGTAAACTACATTAGAGAATCATATAAATAAATAATTTAGCTAAGGTTAACATTTCTAATTAATAAGACAGTCTTGTGTTTTGTACTTGGCTTCAAGTGACGCTAATAACAGAGCACAAATATTTTTACTTTTATCATTGTAAAATGTCCTCTCTATGAGACATGGACAATTAAGATAGTTATTTTAAAATGAAAATTATGATTTCTTGCTTATTCCAACGAAGAATAAATGGATAGTAACTGCTAGGAGTTATTTACAGACTATCATTACATATATTCCTATTGAATAAATATTAAGTAACTAGATTATATATATCTTTTATAATAAGCTTTCGTTTGACTATTATACGATTTACCACTCTTAATTTACTCCCGATCTATTAATTACAGTCTTCCATACTCAAAGCTACCTTTGGCTTGGTCTTGTATGACTAATATTTTCCAGTTCATGGTTTGATGCAGCCTGGTCTCCTTGTATATAAACCAGGTATGTCTGAAACATACGATTCCAACAGAGGAGGTTGACAGTTGTGTTCTGGTTTGATCTGGCTAGGCTAGGCAAGAAGCTACCATGATGAGGACCAATAAGAATTCCGAGTTAACTCAAGGCTGCTCATGCTTGTTGACGCGTTGTTTCTTTAGTATAAGACAAGGTCATAAAAGTCGGTATTTTGATTGGTGGTTCTGTCACGTGATATTTGACTGACTATAAGCCATAATGGCACGCTTTACACTCACATGGTGGGAAACAATGTTCGAAAATAAACCCACATCTTCATTTAGAACTAAACGGAAAAGAGATGTTTTTCGAATTGGCTGTCTGAATAGCAAACTCAGCGGTATTGGGATGGTGAACTAGGATTCATAAAAAAACAATCAGTCGGCAACGGTATTACCATATATATATATATATATATAACACTTACGCAATACTTTTTTCGATGAGTGTGTGAAAGCACAGTCAGGACGAGTACATAATGCCCCATAACGACATGGTGGATGGACAAATGTACATGTTGCTCCAAATTTACATCGTGGAAACAACTGGCATGGTTCTGTGGGATGAATGTACGGACAGGAACTACCATTGCGACAATTAGGCCAAAATTTACAACGCTCCAATGAGCTAAAAGTAAAAAGATAAATAAGTTTTGATTATGTTTTTTATAAGACAGAAAAAACTACTTGAAATTGTAAGGAAGTGAACAATATCTTGTTTGAAATAAATGATACTTTAAGAGTCTTTACTTCAGTTAATTTTTAGGTGTAGATATTTAAAGTCAAGCAGACTATTCAAGTAGATATTATTTCTAATATCAAGAGTATGAAGAAATCTAAAAATAATTTAGGAGTTTGAACTGATATATGGAATGACTACAATTATATTGTTCCAAAATATAAAACTATCACTAAATTCTTATTGGATATCTTCGAATACAATTTAATATGTTACAGAATAAAATTTAAATGAACAGTCATAGAACTAGAACAAGTTGCCGGGGTTCATAGTCTATTACTGGTCTAAATTATGGCCATATATATAGATTATTTGACTAACACCATCACGCAGTCAGAAATGAATGACTGAGAACTTTGAAAGATAGGATGTAAAATTGATCACTATGGTGCAGGTCTAGTAAACTTCTCCCACTAAAAATTGGACACCACTTATTTTTCACTAAGCTTATGGAAACTTTTTCCATTTTTCATTTATGTTGGCGTTTTGTTTAAGATTTTGAATTTTTATATTTATTTATCTACGGAAGACTAATACCGTTGATATACAGCTTAAGTGTAAGTAAGAAGAGAAACAAATAGTAACATTTAACTAAAGTAATTAGGCATCAGATAAATCGTAAACTAAGAGTTTGTACTATCAACAAGCATGTCATGTTTACGAACTGACACTGAGTTTTTTTATAACTTAGATTAAACCTTGACAAAATTAATTCAAATTTTGAAATACATTTTAGTGAAATCATAAAAATTCTAACCTTGGAATATTTGGTTGAGTTTCCGATTCTGTGGTAATATCAACTGTATTTTGTATCTTTTCTTTATGTTTGATTGAGCTGTTTTTCTTCTGCCTATCAGTTCCGGCTGAAAAACTAGTAACATCTTCTTCTTCATCTGTTTCATTCAAATTCACCACTAACTGAGGTGTTGGTTGACTTAATTTATCAGCTAGAGTTATTTTTGACAAGGGTACATAGTTTCCTTTGAGTTGTAGGCTTTCATCATCGATTCCATCATTTCCAAATGCATCGTCACATGCTAATTCTACATAGTCACCTTCAACAAAATCGTCAAATTCATTCCCCGAATTGTAGTCAAAATTTTCATCACTTCGAGATAAACTAACTACGCGTCCATTGGATTGAATAACAGGGCCAAGGCGATGTTTAGCACTTATTCTACCTTCCCCATGTAGTGATTTAGTATTTACCAAGCGTGGACCCAGTCGAAGTTTTCTATCATTCAGTACATCTGTCTGGTCGAAGTATCCAACAGAACGCAAGCGACCAACTCTTGAAGAATTACGAAGTTTAGGAGGAGAAATCATTTGTGTGGATTTAGGTTCGGCACCAGACAACGTAATGAAAAACCTTGTAGAATCAGGCTGTGAAGACGACGACACATCAGAACTTTTTTGAGCAAAAAATAAGCAAAAGGTCACCGTTTAGTCATAAAATTATTACATTACACATCGTACTACGAAATAAGATCAATTTAGGTTCAGTTGTCAAGTTAGTACAGATTATCATCACAAATGAAAAACGACCCACCCAATATTCTAAAGATAATAAAAACTTAACAAACTATTAGCATGACAGTAAATGTGTTTACTTTTCTATTGATTTTAGTTCTATGAAACTTCATGAAAGTTGCTACAGAGGTTTGTGGCGATTGTTAGATTTCTATGGTTTATATCACAGAGAAGATCCTAGCTAGGGAACCATTACAAATTTGAATGCACTGTTAAGCCGTCTCGTCCTTCCGTGAAACTCTTAAAAAAATGCGCGTTTACAACCTCACAGGTGATTGAACTTAGTGCCTTTAAGAATCACGGTGAGCGGACAACCTTTAGACAACTGAGGTTTCATTCAAATGTTTACGTGTCTAACTTGAGTTTGCAACACTGTGCAACTACCTTCTAATGTCATTAATGAGTGACTGCTTTACGTATGACATGGTGTTATTTCCCAAATATAATGTAAATACTTAACCATCTAGCCTTAAGAACAAAACTACGGTTCAAATATAGACAAATAATAAACAAGTAGGGAAAAAATAGTAATTCGTTAAAGACAGGGCTAATGTTAATTTCCCACAGTCACTGTTTTAAGTTTAGTCTTAAAAAATTACTTGGTACTGTTCTAATAGGTTTACCTTTAAATTGTGCTTAGATACCAAACAGCAAGCTGCTTATAAGATATCTTCAGTTTATTTTACTACAAATCAATAAGTCTCACAATTTCATTTTAAAAAGTAAGCGTTGTGAATAAATAGAAACGAATCACAATCCATCTCTTTATCTCTAGTATCTCTATGCAGAAGTATAAATAAATAAAATTTCATATTATGGGATATATTGTCTATCCAAACATGGTCGCTTTGATACAGTCAACATATAATCATTGAAAACCCAAAATGGCTAAAATACTATTGTTATTTGATAATATCAGAAGACATCTGTCATGGTCTGTGTAGAAGATAATATGTTTTATCTTACTCCACTATAAATGTGGTATAAATGAGCGAACAAAACATTTCAATTGAGTAATAAAATAAGCCATAAAGAATATAAATAAAAAGTAAATAATTTAGAGAGAAGGCAGATGAAATTTAATGTAAACATTTTACAGATATGATTGAAGTAAGTTCAAGTCAGTCACAAAGAGTGGTAATAACCACTCTTCATTCATAGACCTTAAACCAGTGATAGCAAATAAGGATTCATCAGTTTAAATACTTTGGTGTAATACATTGTCAATGGTCATACTTAATTGAAAAAACAAAGTCTCATCTGTATGTACAACGAGTTTTACAGGTGGCAATACAACTCTGAACATGTGGGTAGGGTGTATTTTCAATTTTCAATAGTTAGTAGTTGGCAGTTGTGTTATACATATTCCTACTGTTTTAATTGTCAGCTTGAAATGATGTAGTTGATGTATTGTTTCCTATCCTAAAGGTGGTCGCATATACTGTTGTGAACCCTTATTACATTACTAGTGATGTGTGGGCGAGAATGACAATGATTGGTTGTCTTGATGAGTCAGACATTAGATAGTGTGACAGGTGTTATGTGTTATATATATTCACCTATCCTTATTATGTATTGACTGTTCCTTGTATCGGATTTTGGTGTGGAAATATATTGACGTTATAGTCAGGCTAATCTCGTGTTATTGATCTGAGTTGTGTTGATGTCCTGTAGAATAGACACTGGGTGGGAATCTAGTGTAGATATTTGTCTAAGGTAAATTAACGTCCCACATACGTGTAAAAAGTGAAAGGAATGTTATAACAAGAAACCCTAGAGTTATAATCAGTATCCTTACGTTTATAACAACTAGTTATAGAGATATCACACAAAGCAATTCGGGTTTTAATTTCTATTTCAATTTTTATGCCACTATAACCAATTATTGAGAACACTAAGTTCAGATAATGGGATCTAGCGAGTGATAGAGGTCAAACGATGGTTCCGGACAGAAAATAAACCTTGGAATGTTTTTTTATTAGAATAAGAATAATAAATTGAAACAAGATTCTTCATTGGAGTTATATCAATTTACTCATTCTGACATGCATATAGGAGTATCATTAAATGACACAGTCCACTGAAATTGAGGCCTAAAGTTTGATACATCTTCGACAACTATACTGTTTGTCAACTACTCCATAACTAACAACACATGGATGCCTTATAATTGCTAGAAATAACCGGATTTACTAAATTTTGCTAAGGCAGCTGTTATCAAACAATTATAGTAAAATCTGCATAATCATTATTAAAAGTGGTTTATGGCTTAGTATTTCAAAGAGATGATCACAAATCTCTGGATTACAGTTTTATATTTTGCTTCACGTGCCTTATTCTGGGAGAAGTCAAATTGTATCACTAATCTCCGTACATTGAACACGGCTTAAAAACTGTATAACACAAATGTCGCACTGTTTCTGTTTACCTGGTTTCGGAATTCTGTTCTATCCCTAGATTTATTGAACCATCCCGAAAAGATTTTTCAACTTGGGGATGTCCGCTTTATTAATTTTGATTACATGATATTAATGCTACCTCATTACCTTATAGTCAATTGAGTGAGGTTATGGACGAGTTTACAAAAAGCTTATCTAAATTATTGTTATTGGTCTATTTCAAAAGAGTTCGGCCACTTACCAACACCAGAAAATTTCAAAACAAAAAACAGGAAAAGAATTCAACATAATAAAATGACTATGAAATGTCTTCTTTACGTCGAGGTGAATTTATAAAGGGAAAACATTATCAACAAAATTAAAATTATTTATATGTTCACAACTAACCAAGCTATTGGTCGAGCGATTGGTTTTCGTTTCGTCGGAGTGTGCAAACTGGATTCAGTTGCCATTGTGCTGGCTTTAGCTTCGTTCACAGCTCTTTTAAGCAGCAAGCTTGATGGTTGAGGATACTCTTGTTTTGTTCTAACATGCTATGATGAAAAGAAACAACTCATTGCAACAAATTTTCTCTCTTCAAATAATATGTCAGTTCTTGAAAAATAAGAAAATAATTATAACACCAATGGCTAATGAATAAGAACAATTAAGTTTTGCAGCATAAACGTTCCAAGCAGAATTAGGAATTTTTGTACGCTACGATCCTTACACGTACGAAATGATGACACAAGACAGCGACATTTGTTTTTCTGTTCAATTTCGAGTGCAATGTTTGGCTCAATAAACCGACCAAATAATGTAGCGAGGACGACCCTCCTAACTACATCAGTATGAAATCTGGGTAGCGGTCATAAGAAGTAAATGGCTTACTACAAACCATACTCAAATTACATGCCCAATTGTTTTCAAAAAGAAAGATATAGGAAAGTTGGGAGTTTTTTTATCAAATGTGTCCTCAAAGCAGTACTCATATATTAAGGGATTTCTGAGTAAGCAATGGTAAGGTTAGGCGCAGAGTAGAAGAGAAAAGTGGCAAGCCGGTTAATAAGTTTGTGAATCTTCAGCTGGAATGCTTGGGAAATATAGTACGTACCCTCGATCAACGCCTGTCACGACTCAAGATGTTGGTTGGCGTAACAACAAACTGAAAGCCAGAAACAGCAGAGAGATCCTATTAAATCGTTGTCGGCGTGGCACTATAAGCACTAATTGATTGTACCTAAGTGTTAGATTGAGAAAAATCTACGGAGCTAGTGAGACGCCAATTATTGGCATCCAACGGCGTCTTGGATGATGAGCAGAGTCCTCTGAAAAACAATTTGGCCGGTAAGCAGTCCAGTAACACCGATCAAGCTGTTCTATCCTCCAAGGCTGATGGCGACTGGTCCACCCAGGAAGGTTCGCAAGGAACTTCAACTTCCGGAGCTCCACAAGTGACCACACTCAAGTGACTTGACTCTAGCTGTCTTTAAGAGGTGAACAACTGATCAGAGAACTGATTGAGTTGTTCTGAAAAATTTATTAATTACAGTGTTTCAAGATCCCTAACTGAAGCGATTGTCGTCACCAGCTTTAAAAAAAGGCTTGTCATCTGTCCAACAAACTTTGAAGGTTGAGTCTACTTCCGACTGCATTCAAACTATTGGCTTTCGTCATACTTCGCAGATTGTGCAAAGTATGTAAAAGACCGACTTGCGAGGTGCATGTCACCTTTCGTTTCGATAGTCGGTGTATTGATTATACTTTCACATTCTACCAATGTTAAAGAGCCGCCAAACGTTTTGGAGGCAACAACAGTTGTATTTCTTTACATTACGGTTCGTTTTCATTCATTGGAGAGGTGTTTCGGTACTATCTGTCGAAGGATAGCGTGTCTGAGTTTAATAATGTTCTAAAGGTACACGAACACTTCAGGTATACTGAAGATATACAACTACCTCTCTTCATTATTTGTGTACCTGATTAATTTTTTATGAGTATTTGTGGTGGGGTCACAGATGAAACCAATCTATGTATAGTGAAAGCTGGAACGATTTAAACCAATTTGAGACATCTACGTCTACTGCAAACTCGAATACGCATATAAGTATTTAGAACTCTTAGCGAACAATACTAGATGCGATCACTATCGATTTCGAAGGGTTTTCGAATCGACGAGATGCTTCGATAACACCAGCGGTCGAATGTGAATCAACAAACACAAAACCCCGTGAGTCTTGAGAAAAACTGATGTCATTAGCGTAGTCAATAATACCAGTTATAGCAATGCAGTACAAAAACAATGATTACCTTAAGACTATCTGAGTTTTTCACTTCAACAACTGATTGTAGGTTGTTCATTTTATCCGATAATTCCGAATTATTTTCACTTTCTTGAACTATTTTTCGGGATAAGGAAGAAGTGGACATGATTTTGCGCTCCTAAACAATAAACGGATGCTGCTGAAAAACTTACTTCTTTAATGTGATAAGATTCATTACCCTCAGAAATATATACATCTACAACTTGTTTACATTTTAATTTATCTCACCTGCTGCAGCCTTTACACTACCATCTACTTCTGCGTGGGGCTCGCGAGAACTATTAGCATATCTACCATGCTTAACTGGTCCTAAAGGAGACCTTGATCTCGGACGCTTCAAGGACTTGGGAGGAGAACCACTGCGAGATTCAGACGAACGTGATCTACGACCCCTCCGTCGCCTAGACTTTGATCGTGAAGATCGAACACTTTCATTATCTCTACGTCCATCACTAGAGTCTTTAGAAATTAAATTAATGCGAGGCAAAAACTTACCACGACCCATAGCTTTCAGGTTTTCCAGCGTTTGGTGGAGCCTAGAAAAGGAATAAAAGACAAAATTCCCCTCACCATTCAGTAAACTTATTGGTATGTTCACCCAGGAACAACTGTAAGTCTTTAGCCATAGCGCTTTCGCTTTTTTTGTTTGCAACCATAACCATAATATAATCCGGAAGTTCATCATCAATGAATGCACCAAGAGTCTTAAGTTTATCTGTTACGCGATCCTATAGCATTTTAAATTAATCCCTTAAACAAAAAGAAGACAAACCTTCACAGTCAGCAGAAACGACGAGTCATAAACCATTGATAAGACGAAACGTAGGAATACTAAAAAGGCGCTCTCTAGTTCAATGGAGCAAAAGAATTTGAACAAAATTGCAGCTCCTACTTGATGAGCTTCCATGTCTGGTAGCAATGGATCGTCAGTACTTTCAGACAATGAGTTTGCGGTCATATAAGAAGTTTACTATCCATTCTTGTAAAGCACCTGTTATTCCAAAGCTCGAGAGCTTCTGCATAAGACCTAAGTGCTAAACCTTGACAAACGCTTTGCTAAAATCTATGAATATCGCATCGACAGACAGGCCGTTATCTAAGGCTGCCGTCCAATCCTCTCTCGCAATAAGTAAGTTAGTTAAGCATAAATGCTTGTTATGAAACCAATGTTGCTCGAGATTTAACAGACTGTTCAAATCTATGTGACCTAGTAACTTAACCCGAAGTATCTTTTCAAGTAACTTAACGACTATGCTGGTTAGCCTGACAGACAGTTAGTTAGATACGATCTGCCTCTGACCGTCCTTAAATATAGGACTGACTATAGTGCCTTTCCCGTCCCTAGGGAGTTGAGTGAGTGAAAGGGACATGCTGAAGAGCGTCGCGAGCGGTCTCAAAACAATGTCCGCAAGCAACGACAGCAAGCGTGGATGTAACCCATCGAGGCCCGGTATCTTACAAGGTTTAAGGTTAGTTATCAATGGAAGAACAGTTTCCTCAGTCACATGTGCAGATCCTATGGCTGGTACCTAGGTGTAATTGGGACAATTAGCTGTAACATTACACGTAGAGTATACTTCACTAAAATAGTTTGAAAAAGTCTAAGCTTTTGCTAGATTAGATTCAGCTAGTAAACCTGAATTTTCGTGTAATTAACGCGGGAATACCATCACTACGTTCTGTTCGCCGTTTAACGTACAAAAACAATCGCTGCGAACAAGTACGGTTGTAATATGCCAACTGTTGTTCGTAAATGGTAGAGGATTTAGCTATGGTCTTTTTACCTATATTCTGGATTTTTTATACTCTCACTTAATGATCCCTGTCCTGTTGACACGAATAAGTCCACAAAATGTTTCCTACGCTACGACAACTTCCGGGTTTCCTTATTAACGCATGGGAGGCAATGTGGTAACTTACGTGTTGACCATAGGATAAACGGTTGTATTACGGACTCAAATGTAGCCTTAAACTTATTCCATTCATCTTCGATCCATCCGTCAGCATCGACCAACGAGTCAATAGAGATAGGACAGTCTGTGATTGCCGGAATAATAGCTCTCCTGATATTAGGACGGGGTGAAGCAGATGCAAACTCTATACCATGTGTCCGAAGTACAACGTGGTCATTATTCACTAGTGAGGAAAGGTGTTGAATGTGGACGACATCTTCACAGTGGTGTGTGAGGACAATGTCTAGAAACGACAGATCATGGTTCAAGTCAATATGTATCGGTTTCACGATACATTATACGAGTGCACACTGAATAATTGTTGATAGAAGGTCGCTATCGTAACCCCCACCTGAAGCTGTGAGCTCTATCCAGCTGATATGTGGTGCGTTGAAGTCTCCAACGATGAGACAACATTCTGCCTTACTCCAAGAACAGATGAGTCTTATCAGAAAGTCGTCAGCAAGACAACGCGGACTACGATATATCCCTCCTATAGTCACCAACCCGCTCCTAGACCTGATTGTACAACATACTACCTCTTACGTACCACTAGCATGGGCCTCTGATATGATCGATTGTATGCGAAAGACTACGGACACTCGTGAAGCACACGTTTAAAGTGTTTTGTAAATCATACGTTCTACCCATACTGGTCTCGGAAGCATTGGCTTCCAAGACCTGACTATCCGGAAACCCTTAATCGTAAGGTTCGTTTCGCCATTTAGCTTTCAAATTCTTAACTCCGTAAGAGCATTTTTCCACTTGATCCGATCCTCAAGCGGCCAATCTGGTCGAATACGAATATTTGAATCCCGAGTATTGTGTGCGTTATTCACTATTACGTCTCTTCCCTCGAAATTCCCGAGTACTAACTTCAAGATCCTTATTTGTTGTGTCTCGCCTCCAACCAATCTATCGAGTCTTATTACTCTCGTGATATGTACCCCTGAAAACTCTTCGGGCAGCGTATTTTCGATGACAGATCCCATTAACTGCACATCGTGTGTATGTCTTTTAGCAGGGTCATTGTCTTTCGACTCTTCTAGATTCCGAATAATTAAACTAGGAACGTGGTTAACTACTTCAAAACTCGTGTTTACGGCTTTTGACCGTGACCTCAGGTCCCGCCTGTTGACTGCTGATATCTTACCATTAGCTTCCATTGTAACAGTGTCATATGAGTCGAGCGAATGACTTACAACAATATTTGATGGGGCCAAACTTTTCCTATCTACAACAGGGCTAAATATGTTCTTTTTTCGAACTTTAGCGGAGTAATCTTACATGCAGAATGTAAGTCTAATAAGGACTCTTCAACTAATCAGATTCTTCCTTTGACTATCTTTTCTTTCTTATACTTTTCCTCGTAATCCATTTCCCATCAGTCGCAGCATCCTGATTAGAACTATTCGGGACGATAATGGTTCTAACCGGATCATCAGTCGCTGCTGTAGCAACTTGTCCATCAATATCTAAAAGTGTATCGCCCATTAATTGTTTCGGGGTAGAAAGCTCTATTTCGTGTTGCACAGTTAGGTGTCTGGCTCGTGCCGTGACAGCACTTACGACACTGACATATTCTTCGTCATCACTATCCATGTTACTTGTACAGCCCTCACCAACCATTTTGTTAGCTAATGCCAGAAGGTTAATTGCTTCTTAAATGAATAATATTTTGCTCGAACAACAAAACATACAGAGCCAAGGAGAACTAGGTTTTGAGCACGTTTTATACTCAGTGGGACTTAAACGGGTACATATTTTATCGCACCACTTCTTACACTCATCGCATTGCATTTCTCCTTCTACAAGGAATAAGTAATATATCTGTCCACACTTGTGAGCAGAGTCGGCCATCTTAAAAATTAACTAAAATGGTATACAAAATGGATATGTAAGACAAATCTCAAACCTTGATCGAATAAATCAAGCCCTAGTCGACTAAGAATGCTTTGATGCAGTAAATACACAGAAGCAAGATCAAAACACACAAATAAAATATCACTTTGGCCTAAATAAATTAAATTGAAGGGTAAAAGGTAGTTTTGATGCGTAATTCATGGTCAAAACAGTGAATTTAACCCGACGAAAAACAATATCAATGTCATTTTTAAATAGTGTGCGTTCCATAGCATAAGTAACTCATTTGGTGAATTCATTATCTATTATAGACATTTGTAGAAGATATATGGTACTTAAGCCTCCGTAAATATTTCAAAAATGACTTATTGTTCACTACTTGTAGAACTAATTATGTTGTATATTTTGTGCGCGTTTGTTTTAATCTGCCACACGGTATATGTTTTCATGATAATTAATGGTGCGATTTTAATTCTGATACTTTTTGACCTGAACCTTAATTATTATATCCCTCTTGGTAATCAATGCGCCTTAATTATCTTTATTCTTTTCGTTCATATTATTGTACGCATGCATGCTGTATATGGATAGTGACGGTTGCTTACTCATATGATAAACAATAGTAGATTCCCTTTATAAAATAAACATTCGGTTTAAAATATAGCAAAAAGCTTCTGTTATTAACTAACCAATGATTTCGAATTTTTAAAAAATTCCTTGTAACACAAAAGATTGCCAGCATATTTTTGGCGTGTGAATTTTCAGTCATAAGATCACTTTGAAATTGTAGGTGTTGGTTGACTGCAGTGGGATAAACTTATCCATCTGACTTTGTTTACAGTACTTCGGCTGACTGTTTTATGCTCTTTTGATGTAGTAAGTCTATTGCAAAATGTACTTGAAGAATATGTATTTCAAGCGCTAAAAGTACTAAAATACAACCATAAGAACAAGTGAAAAGTAATTGATCCATCTTTTTTATTATAATGGACTTGAATTATTTATGACAAGTAGATAGTGGATAAGTATCCAGACACAAGAAGTTATTAAAATACAGATATGGGGGTAATACATGCGGAAGCTTTAGCATCTTAGGATACGTCAGTATGTGTTAATAATTTAATGTGTGAGGGTGACCACGATGTGGTCGAAGAAATTAACGAGAAATAATTTAAAGGGGCGGGAAAAGCAACTAATAATACTGTATGGCTTTATTATTTTGAAATAGGTGAATAAACAATCTGATATGCTGCAAGTTTACACTTATTTTAACATATTAAGTTTTGGAGCTCAATTTTGAGCGGAGTGTCCAACAACATCTCTTGGATTGATTCTGTGGTTTATCTTATTGTCAGAGCAAAACAAAACAAAGTCAATCAATTCCAAGGCAACATTGGGCTAAAGTTTACCGATATGTGTCAAACACTTTATAACTCTTTTGTTAGAATAAGAAGTATAGCTCTGTCTTCACCAATCCAGATAAGACGGCGTCTAATGAAATGGAATTCATGTTAGAAATACTTCTTATGGAATCTTGTTTATTCCAAGCCAACGTCTAAGCAAAATTGTCAAACGCTATAATGAGCAAATTGAATCCATTTTCTTATTGGCTGTTTGAATCTTCCCATTGATGTTTAAGGACTGCACTTTATCAATATATCCGGCAGGCGATCCCCAAATAGGACGAAACGCATGTCCTGGGTTTCACTGCTGACGAAATTTCATCTCTGCCTATAGCAAGTTGTCAAGCTACACTATTTAAAAAAATTGAGACATTAATAACTGCACTTACTATGGTTGAACAGTACAGCATTGGTTTTATAAATATTCAAATAATTCAATAAAGGTTTTCCAAATTTAAAAAGAAAATGAATAACAGAACCTAACGTCCTAGTGAGTTTATAGTGTTGAGCAACAGTGTTCATAAAATATGCCATAACTTTTTTCCACTTACTGAATAAGCGGTAAATCATGTAAACATTATAGATCGTCAATATAGATAATATATGTGAATAATCGTAATTTACTTGGGTTAGACGTGAAAGATATGACCTTTTAGCTTTCACCAAAGTTATGTCTCCCAATGAATACCTTACATGGATTTCTCTTTCGTGGTATGTATGTACTTTGGCTACTTTTATGACTGTATAAAATAAACATGACGAATGCAGAAATGTATTAGTAAAAGAAGACTAGAGAAATGGAGAGCAAAAACACTTTCACTAGGATCAACCGATGATGTGCAATAGATTGATTCGCGTTAGTTACCCTTGTTCTTGACGATATCCGATAAACTGTCCCACGTCGCTAGCCGCTGTATAACTCAGGTTCAGTTTGCTAGGTAATTTGGTTGCGGCTTAGCGAAATTTTCCTGACCCTACAACGTTTTGTACTTACTGAAAAGGAGGTTTTACGGAGTTATGAAATGTATTACGGATTAAAAACCTATGCCTTTCATTCTATTACGTATGCTTGGAAATTGATACTGATGATAGATAATTTCGACAATCTTAAAGCGTATATCCGGTAATAAAGAAAATTTGGATTGGTAAGTTGATTTGATGGATTTTATTTGTATGTGATTTATACTTGACACGTGTCCCCAAAGACTCTGTAGTCTATAGGCTTGGTGGATTCTCAAGAAATCCTTTGAAATACTAATCAACAGAATAGTTTGAAAGCTTTTATAACAATGCGGCCTACCAGTCTAAGTATTAAAGTGGTGCTATCTATTTTGAAGTGAACTATAAATGGTGTGTTCTTTACGAAGTTAATGAGTTTACAAATGGTGACAGTACGAATCTGACATACGTTTCATACTCCTTAATAATTATTGTAATGTTTTCATACTTTTGCTTCATAAGTGTGTCATGCACCGTAAATATGTCTACGTTGAGGCTGAAAATGCATTCCTTAGACAAATTAATAGACTTTTTAATAAGAACACCGGATAGCAATACATGACAATCCGGTATTAAAAGTCTATCCAAGTATCCTAACTCAGATTCATATCTGATGGTAAGAATATATAAAAGTAGTTATTAAATGTTTTATGTGCGGTCAAAGCTCGAATCTGCTAAAAGCATACTTAAGCAGCCACAAATTAACCATACCTTCAAAACAGGATTAAGCTGTTGACGTACATGAGTGTATTTTTTAGATTTAGAATTAAAAGCGCTATAATTTGTAAATAAACTGAAACTCAGAAAGAAGTTAATGGTAGTTTGAAATTGCTTTGTCATTTACGAGGTATTCTTCATATTGAAAATAAAGAACGTTTACTTAAAATATCTTTAGAATACATTCAATCCTATAACTTCGGATATTTCGACTGGATTTGTGTTAGGAGAAGGAACTCTTAGTATCTTGAAGGATAAAAGTCTGTAATTCTAAATGCCAATGTACATACATCTTGCTTTTTCGTATAAGTAGTAATTAGTCTATTTCTACAAAGCAAATTTTTGCCAAACTGATCCTCACTTTGCTTTATGAGAGTAAGCATATAGTGACAGCTGGAAGTCTTAGTCCAGTTAATTAAATTATTCTATGAACTTCCTATTACGTTTTTATGCAAATATAGAACTTTATGTCAGTGGAATTTGTAACTGCATTTAAGACAATTAAAGTTCAAGTATGTGCAATCTGGAATACTAGTGAGGGTAACTTCAGTAATTATATAAATATAACTCTTGGATGATAAATAGACTGTCAAATGACAAACTGACTCTGGAAAAATCATGAGAACAGAGGAGCTGATGAACACATAAAACAAAAAATAAAACAAACACTTGAATTTCTGACTATTCTCAAATTAACTTGTACTAGCGGAAGGCCTAAATAATAAATAACCTTTATTTGTCAACCTTACATATTTCTCTAATTCAGGTCATGCTCATTTATTTATGTCGAGTTTTTCATAACTGTTCTTTGTAAAATGAGAGTTTCTGTTTCTCATTTTGGTCTTTGCTTTTTTCTCTGTCTTGAATTTTCACTAGTAAATATTTTTAATTAACATTTTTGGGAACTTCATTACAAATATTTGATTGAGCTTTACGCCATATGCCAATAGCCGATTCTCGACTAGAACGTTTACAAATAAGGAAGCTTCTTCAGTGTGTAAATAATAAGGACATCGACCAGATAAAGAAGTTGATTGAACATGGGGTGCCGAATCTCATCAATTATAATGATCCAGATAATGGTATAACGGCTGTAATTTCAGCTGTCAAGTCGGACGACATCTGCACAATTGAAGTAATAAAGTAAACCTTGTAAATAACGTTTTAGTTTCTTCTTTTGAATGGTGCATGCATAGACATAGTAGATTTTGATGGCAAAACTGCTTTAATGACGGCAGCTGAACTTGGAAACGTGGATATTTTCAAGAAATTACTTGACAAAGGTGCCAATAGGAATGCAAATGATTTCAATGAAAGAAGTAATTTTAACTGGTCTGTAATTACTGCTTTTAGCCGCATTATTCTATTGTATTTCACCAACCGATGCGCATTTAAAATGTTTAGGCCTATTACTAGACAAAAGTATGCTCATTAATAAACAGGACCGTGATGGAGAAACAGCATTACATGTTGCATGTAAAAGATCTATTGAAAATGAGAAATTCATCCTTGAATTATTGAACAATGGTGCTAATCCAAACATTTATTCGGTATGTTATTCATACAACTCGTCACTTATTTATTTCCGCACAATGAACATGTTATACTGACTGTTTTGAGTTATTTTTTTCTGACACTTATCAAGATGAAGTTCGATATTTCGGAAATGAACCCCTATCCTCAGATTTAAATGACTATAGTGATTTCATTTCTTTATTTTCTACTCACGGTCACATTCAAAAAACACAAGCTTTAGTCAAAATATTTAACTTTATTCACTTCAAAATTCTCAGTATAACTATATGCTTATAAAAGTGAGATTGAAGAATCGCAAGTTCCATTTGATAAAGCATTGTTTAAATCGACCAGAATGTCATAAGCATCAGGAGAAATCGAACAAAGAAAAAAATTCTGTGAAGTCATCAGAACGTCTCGAGAAAATAGCACTGAGAAGTGCCAGAACGTACTGAAAAACATTTTGTGGATAAGATGAAGAAGGGGCGCACTGCGATAATCTGTATACTGCTCTGATATCTAATGCTATAAACGGCTGATTTTTTAAATTTCTGTGTTCTTAGAGGAGGACTAAAAACTTCATTGAATGAATCAAGAAACAGCAAAGAATTTAAAGATTGATGAAATGCCTTTATCAATCAGACTTTGGGTTTATTGTGATTTATTTCCAGCTGTATTATTGACATATGTCAAGTCAAACTGTACTTAAAGTCATTATGTGGTAGAATTACTCAATAGTTTATGGTTTGTACTTCCCAGGAGGTCTCACATATACATAGTTCAGACCATCATAAGCTATATTTATTGGGTGTTACTAGGCCGGTTATGTAAAATTCCTGTCAGAGGGCCTATTATGTGGATCAGCCAGCTTTTAGTGGTAAAATATAAATATACATAACTACTGCCGTTGGAAAAAAACTTAACTGATACCGTAAACGTTCAATTAGCGGTAATTCTTTAAAATTAGGACTTGTTTTTATACTAGTGAAGTGTTCAGCTTAAGGTCATTTTTACTGCAAAAATGTGGTTAAAGTACAGGATTGTTAGTCTTTAGGCGTACTAGTATAACTTTTAGACTGAATTTTAGCTCACTAAGTTGACGGTTAAGCCTTTGATGTTGAGTATAAAGGCCCTGAGATCAATTCTTGGATACGAAGTCGTGAATACACGCTGCTGTAGAATCCTATTCTAGGATGAAATATCCACTAGTGTTTCCGGTTTTTCAGCGGTTATCTAACTTAGGTTGCTTTGTGATCTCAGTGATATTATTATTACTATCCTCTAACAACTTTTCATGATTATTATTCTATTGTTATTATAATCTTTACGTTTTTTGTTTTCTCTTCATATCTGTTAAGTGAACAATTACCTCTCATATTTCTCACCCGTGAATTAATCTCATCTTCACAACATTTTGATATTTGAGATCTCGAATTACCTTATTATGTATTCCCTTTCTATTCTTCTGCAGATTCATATATCTATCAAACAGCCATAAATACGAATGTACAGCTTGAGCAAATAATTTCGTCGAAAAGAAACCAAATTATCTCTATTTTTATAAATAAGCAGTATATTTGTAATATCCCAATGAGTAGAAAAATTAGACTTTCTGACGTGCATTACTCAATGTAAGCCACTTCTTCAGAGAATAAATAACCAAATTAACATTAATTCAAGTTTAAATTGTACAACGGAACAACATGAATATTATGTGGTCAATCAAAAAACAGGTCTGAATATGTCAATATCATGTCATTTCGATCAAGGTGATTCATAAGCGACATATATGTAAATTTGTGTGTGTGCAGTGTTAAAGATGAAAAATGTTTGACCTTTAGGTAATAAAGGATAGAGTTTAATCTGTAAGATAATAGCGTGAATTGTCATTAACATCACACTAGGTGGCTAGGATAGATAGTCCAAGTAGGATGTATGGTAGGATTAAGCATTATATGGAACTACATCTCAGAGTTGATGTTCACTCTGGGACTCGAACCCAGTACCCTTCACTTCAAACGCCATCACATTCTCCACTCGACCACTGAGTCCTGAGATGCAGGTACATCCGGCTGACGAGTCCCATGTAGGACGAAACGCACTTCCTGGATTACACTGCTAGTCACTATCCATCTTTCCTGATAAAATGTCTGTTACAAGTCATCAAATTTTCGAACTGAATCTCATGCAGAGTCATAAGTAGGTAATACTGTGAAATATTAAACTAGAATGAAAGATAGATCCTGTGCTTCATAGTTTTCTTTTTAAAACATTCCCTAGCCTATGTTGATCTACGATCAAATCAAACGAATCTTGAAAAACAATCTAATAAATCTTGTTTATATTTTTCCTAATTTTCAAACCAAACACATTAACCTGTTTTTACTAAGTAAAGTTATTGGATCTCTACCATAAACTATGTAGGGGATCTTAGCTTAATTGGAAGAGACTATCATGTAATACTCAAAAAGGGAATTTCAATAATCCATGCCGTATTGTTTCTGTATTTATTTACATTATACTTTAGAAAAATAGAAAAACTGCGTTTTTAGAAGCATGTGGAACAGGTAGTAGTACCTCAGTTGCAGCAGCATTACGTGCTGGAGCTGATCTAAATTCTTGTGACAAAGACAAACAAAGTGGCGCTCATGAAGCTGCTAAAAATGGTCATTTAAAGGTGTTGTTTGTACTTTCTGCATTCGGATTCGACTTCAATGCTGTAAGTGAAATTCAATTATAAACTACTGTCAAGCGAACAAAGCATTAGGAGTTTTTTTTTAAGTCTATAAATCAAATAAATATCTGGTGAATCGGATAGTGTACTATTAGTGTTGTTCTCAGAGTGACTTACATCCTTGAAATTGATTGATTCGCAGCTAATATCGTAAAAGAACGACCAGTATGACAAAGAAGCATTATACATTGAATGAGTATGTCTTACACAGTACACCCAATCAATTTTTTCTTCACTTAGCTGGCATGTGCTGCATATTAGAAAGCAATCTTCATGCAACGATTTCAATTCAACCTCTAACTTCGACAATATTTGTGTATTTTCATTCTGGATATTTGACTTTGTAGTGGAAATATTCATAGTAGGCAGCTGCGCATAACTTCAGCTCACTGTTAACATTAGACAATAGTGATGTAATGAGGCATATCGTCAGCATTTCAATAAAGCTTCATCCTTTTTCATTCAATCGCTTTCTCTTATATCACATAAATGAGAAGATCAAGTCACAAGTCCGAATAAGCTATTTATCTGATGACTAAATTTCTTCTGCATCTTTACTACAAAATCTCCAAGGTCAGACTGATTAAAACTAGTTAAGAAGGAACACTTTCATTCAAGGTTAATCTCTTTTGGAATTTTTTGTTAGCCTCTACTAATTCAAAGTAACAGCTCTTTGTACAATAAATTTCATAGTCACTGATGTAACCCACATCTTCTGATAACTGAAGAAATACAGACTTCTAAACACACATTTTACTAAATTGTCAAAGAAACATGTTTAACTTCACTTGGTATTGTTTATTTGAATCTTCCCATTGATGTTTAGGACTGCAATTGATCTGTCTCTCATTGGCATGTATGCATACTGTGCTTATCGCCTCGATATAGCCTTAATTCACATGCATTATAAGCAAAGATGGATAGTGGCTAGCAGTGGAATCCAGGACGCGCGTTTCGTCCTATTTACAATGCTTGTGAATTACGGCTATATCGAGACAATATGCACAGTATGCACATATGCCAATTAGATACTGACCAGTTGCAGTCTTAAACATCAATGGGAAGATTCAAACAAACAATACTAACTGAATTGATATTAACACTAGTTTCAACAAAACATTCATTTTGAATGTCATTATGTATTAAGTTTGTTTAGCTAACATTCTCGGTACTACTACTACTTCTGCTACTACTATTACTACTACTACTACTACTACTACTACTACTACTACTACTACTAATAATAATAATAATAATAATAATAATAATAATATCAGTTTAATCAATTTTGTATAATGAACACTGATTCGATATTCATTTCACTTCAATTCAAAACAGCTTGATAACGATGGAAATAATCCATTACACATGGCTGCTAAAGTCGATGAAATGTGTTGTAAATTTCTTGGGCAAAGAGGTGAATTGACAATATTTCTGATTTATATTTTATTCTAATTTAATATGATGAGTAAATGAAATTATTTCTTTAAATACCTTAAGAAAACAGCGTAGAAAACTATAATGTCGTTTAACTAATTTAAAGTTTAACAAAACAATAAAAATTAATGAATAAAGAATATTGTAAAATGTTGGGTTTAACGATGCACTAGTTAATCATATTCAAACTAGAACAATAATGAACATGAATGAAGATTTTTTAAACTTAGACTACAGATACTTACTCACGCCTGTTGCCCCTCGTGGAGGAGTATAGACCGCACACCAGCATTCTCCATCCAACCCTGTCCTGGACAATCCTTTCAACTTCTTCCCAGATGCTATTCATCCTTTTAATATCTGCTTCTAATTCCCGATGCAATGTGTTCTTTGGTCTTCCTCTTTTATGATTACCTTCAGGATTCCAAGTTATTGATTACCTCGTGATGCAGTTTGGTGATTTTCTCAATGTATGTCCCATCCACTTCTAACGTCTGACACACTGAAGCTATTGTTTGTTTTTTTTTCCTTTCCAGTTGTCCTCCATCGTAGTTTCTTCTTTCTGCAGATCCTGTAAAGCTTGGAACCTATTGTTGTGAGTTATCTTGAGTTGGTTGAGTTTGTCAGTACCTCGAAGAAAGGCTGTAATAAACCTTTGTAATACTGTTCCCCCAGATTACAAACAACCTATCAAATAAATGTATAATATCGGATGCGAAATAGAATTGACTGAGTTTACTGTTGTTCATAGCCATCTGAGTTTAAAATCTCATTGAAATTAGCCCAATATTAACACAAAGATGGTGGAAAAGATTTGTAGCTCAGGTGGGTGATTTTGAGAACAAACCAACATCAAAATTAACACAAAGATAAACTGGGAACTAGTAGATAGAAAATCCAGACTAATTAAGTGAAACTATTTTTTAAAATGAGATATTTATCAAGACGGTCTGACTTTATAAGAGAGCTGTATAATGCTTGAGTACTACACATTCGCTGTTTCCATTTCTTACATGATTGTTTTCCATTAATTTTTAAAAGGTTGTGATGCAAAAGTAAAGAACGCAAATGGAAAATTACCTCGAAACATTGCTGTTGATGAAGGTAAAAAACTATGTGCCAAAGAACTACGTAAACTAGAACGTGTGACAAGTAAAACAATAAAAAATGCAGAATCTTGGGCCATTAGACTATACGATTGGTCAATTGTATTTGCAAATGATTTAAGAGAACGTTTCATTGAAATTAGTCATCGATTATCAAGTGCTTTAGAAGAACAGAAAGAAACAAATTCAAGTGTTTCAAGAGAGTTAGACAGTAGAAATGATTTACAAGTTAGTGAACAAAGTTTAGTCACAGCAGTGCATGCTTCTAATCAACAAGAATCAGATAAATTAAGCACGAAAACCAGTTCAAGTAAAAAGAGAAAACGATCAAAAAAACGTAGTACAAGCCGTTCCAGATCTAGAAAAGCATCAACCACAAGAATTCCCATAGAAGATTTCACATCAGTAATTAGTTCGTTGGATGGACCAATCAATGAGATAATTAGTAAAACACTGCTTACTTTACATGAGAAAAATGCAGATGGTTGTATTGATTGGCAAGAGTTTTTAACTGGAAAAAAATATTTGAATAAAAACTACTTAGTATCAGCCTTTGAGAAGAAGAAAGGCAAAAAGAAAAAAAGAAAAGGTGGTAAAGGTAATTTGGGATAAAAGTCGGGTTTTTTCCTTCGTTAATATAACTCCCTTCTTTCAATTATAGCGAGCCATCAGCATCCCATTAATTGGATGCTTTTTTACTGTACGAATGTTAGATTGTAACCCCATCTTAGTTTACTATACAATAGATATGTCAGTTGCTAAATAAGAAGCCATTATGTATCAAATTCAACAAATCATAGTGAAGTAGTGGCTTGATGGTTAAAGCGTTTAACCTTTCGCTTTTAAGTAGCGGGACCGAACCCCACTTTCCTATTTTGGTTTGAGTAACAAAATAATATCAATAGTTTTCACAAAAAGATTGTGGCTCAAGATAAAAGACATGAATGAGTAACTGGTAAATATGTGATAAATTATTCTTTCTGCTATTCTTTAATGCTTTCGGTCTATGTTATTTCATACTTTTCATTCTTTCCTCCATTCAAGTCATATTTCACATATTTGCAATGGGTTTATTTCCCAGACATATTTTCTTTACCTCATTTCGTTTATTGTTTTGGATCACTATGATAATTTAAGGTGTAACGAGTTGAACCATTACGAAATAGTGCCGCATTTTACATTTTTTGTGATTCATTGATGCTTGAAGCTAACCATACATGTAAACTCTGAAGACAGACTAAGATCGATTTTGTTTCCATACATTTCGTAATTTTAAACCTGAAATTCTATCATCTATAAGAATACAATTTGGTATTAACTTTATATGTTTGAATTTTTCCATTATTTATAATGAAGACTGTAGTGGTCAGGCTCTCTTGGGGGTATGCAATTCCTTAACGGATAACTTGAAATTATTCCATTTCATTGTTTATCAATTCAAAATGCAGTATTAACAACAGGGAAATACAAACCTTTACAATTAATAATACATGTTATTATCGACAAACGAATGAGGTTTAGTATGATTCACAAGCCTTTAAAACTTGTGCCTATGGATACCGAGTTCAAGTATCGTTGTAGACATTGGAATGGATCAAAGACTTTTAGATAAAAGCTATGATTAGAGGGATCCAGTAATGTTGAGAGTGTGATTGTTACCTACTGATGATATTAGATAAGCTTTACACCAAATTACTAATCGCTACTCATTATAATTAATCTCGATCAAATAAGTCAATACGCTAGTTCATCCATCAATTTCAGTTGACATATATAATCCTCATCATTTTCTACATTTTTGCTAGGAAATAATAAATTTGAGGTTTGTTCTGAAAGGAGGAAGAGAGTGATGGCCGATTAGCCTTTTTGGACGTCCTCCTAACTAAGAGATCAGATGGATCGTTAAGAAGAAACATGAACAGAAAAAGTACTTGGACTGGACAGTATACACACTTCCTTAGCTTTGTACCTCTACAGTACAAACGAAACCTAATCAAAACCCTTAGCTATCGAATACGCACTATATGTGTCGGCGGATGTAGTTGACAATGAGCTAAACACATTGCATAATGCTCAAGGGAGAACGGGTATCCCAGAAAATTTATAATTAAATATATGATCTTTAAAGTGAAAATAGGCGAATTCCAAACGGTCAAGAAAAAGTCTTTGTTCATGCGCCTACAATTCAGGGGGGATGGCGCTGGCGAAATACTTGCTCAGAGATTACGCAGATCTATGCAAAAATCTTTCAACGCAGGTGAACTACGTTTGGTGTTTTCTACGCGTCCAATGGTGACACCGAGGCTTAAAGATGAAGTTCCTAGAATGACCACTTTATTTTGTATTTATCAGTTCGACTGCTCCTGTGGAGCAAGTTATATTGCTCGAAGTTCTAGGAATTTACATTTTCGTGCTCGTGAACACCTCCCAGCGTGGCTAAGCAAAGGTCTGATGGGGAAAGTAAACAGCTCGATTTTGGCCCATTTAGTACAAACTGGTCATAGTGCCAGTATAAACCAATCTTTTTCAATTATTTATAGGGTCAGTAACTTTTTGCCTAAGCTTGTCAGACTTAAAGTCCGTCAAACGGCGGAGGCAGTAGCCATCAGAATGAAGAAACCTGAGCTATGTGTACAGAAGAAATATCTCCAACTCCTACTTCTCCCTTGGCCAACCACAAGGCCAATTAATGAACAATCATCTTAGCTATTGCATGACCTAATTTGACTATGTACTTACGACCTTTCGTAGTCAAATGTAATTGTCTCTCTTATCTTTATTTACAAATCTTTGTATTTTATCATTATTATTATTATTATTATTATTATTATTATTATTATTATTATTATTATTGGTTAAATATCATTATTAATCTCCCCTAAACATGATTCATTTACATCGCATTGATCCCTCCTTATTACGTCCTACTAATTTTTCACACATTTAGTCTTCCACTTGATCGAATTGTAATTGTACTATCATATCTCTCTCACCCTATCTGACCCATATTTATTCTGATCACAGATTAAATTTTCACTTTATGTATATACAAATTCAAGTTGACATTCTATAAGAGTCATATCAACATTAACAAATTTATTCTATTTGATTTGACATTCCTAAATTTACATGCTTTAAACGATGTACTTTGCCTTTAACCTGCCCATTTTTCGGATTATTAATTTGGATATATAATTGTAGAACCTGAAGAGAATTTATCGAAAAGAATAAACAATAATTAGTTGATTTTAAGTAAGAATGTTGTTTGTAAATATTAGTAATCTCCACAACACCACACTAATATTTAAATTTGTTGATAAAACCAACGGATATGATTCGCGCTTATATTCCTACTGTTTAAAGAAAAAAATTACTTGTCATACGTGATATACCTACAATAGTCGAAATAATCCAAATGCTAAGGATAAAGAAGAGGTAACTTTACTCTGGAGACTAAGCATGCCACGTTTAGCTTGTACCATAAACAGTTGATATATTATCCGAATTGATAACTTATGTTTAATATGCCCGATTTATTATTTATTTACGTATCTAAGTGATGTTAGAAAGATTATTTCAACAAAAATGTAGCGAACGAGAACACCAGTGAGGAGAATCAAATGCATTTTAATAAAACATCACAAAATATTTTGGTAAAATCTGAGATCTATACAGTAAATAATTCATATGCAAAAAATCCATCAATTGTCTCAGACCTCGTTGGTCCTTCGTTTCCATCCCATTCACCTTTTGTTCTCGTTCGATTTTCTCAACCTTTTGCTGCTAGGCATTCCAAGTTCAAATGGTAATGCATACTACTTATATTTGTCTACAACAGTAGCACATGCCACAATAAAACTTTGGCAGCTTTCTCTTAAAACTTTGCTAACTTCATTGTTAATTACAAAATATAGTGATATCTCTATGCAATACTGCAATGAAGATTGTAGGTTTAATGAATAATTTAGACATTTTTTAAGTTCACTCATACACTATTCATTTTTATTGCTCGAAGATGTACCTTTTTAGTTTGCACTGAATTTTAATTTTTCTATTGCAGAAACTTCATAAATTTGTACTATTTCATTTCATATTTTAATTTAGTTTTTCGAAAGATTTTCATTTATTTGTTTTTGCATTTCGAGTCTATTGGTTATTCTTAAAGAACTAATTACCTTAGATACTCAAAATATACATTTCAAACATATATACTTACTTAATTACGCCTGTTACCCCTCGTGGAGGAGCATAGGCTGCCCATCAGAATTCTCCATCCAACCCTGTCCTGAACAATCTTTTCAAGTTCTTTCCAGTTAACATTCATCCTTTTAATATCTGCTTTCAATTCCCGATGCAATGTGTTCTTTGGACTTCCTCTTTTCCACTTACTTTCAGGACTCCAAGTTAGTTCTTGCCTCGTGATGCAGTCTGATGATTTCCTCAATGTATGTCCTATCCACTTACGTCTTACTGGAAATAATTGGTAAATGACAAACATCTACCCCTTAAAAGTAACTATAATACGTTAACGCATTCTCATTGATGATAAGGATTGTTCACTGAATAAAATCAAATATCAGTGTGGGGATTTATGGAGATTCTTGTATTTTAACATTTAAATGGGCACTGTCGAGGAGTCCCATACTAGAACAAAACTACCGTACAGTGTTCCTGGTTTCAAAAGGTTGCCTAGCTTAGATAGACTCATGAATTCAACTGTTAACAGAGTCAAATACATTTAATGATATAATATTGAGTTAGATATTTAATATCAATTCCAATAATCACTTGAAATGGACTACAAAAGAAGGCGTAAAAAATCAGAGTACCAGTCTTAGTTTTGTCTAATATCGCCTTCCGGTAAATTCAGAACCTATAATTTTTCAAAGGGCTAATTAAAGAAAGAAATTTAAGTTGAAATTAAATAATCAGTACTCTTAAGAGTTATGTAGTTGATTTCATTTTATATACATACTATCAAGTATGTTCGTTGGGTTATGTTCCCGAACCATATCAGCTCAGTCAGAAAAAATTATCAAGATGATTAGCAAACTAGTTGTAGTAATAGTGGCCGTGTGTTGTGCACTACTTATATGAAGGGACATAAAAAGAACAATGAAGTTCGTAAGAGGTAATTCAAGCATGATGTGGAAAGAGTGTATTGAGTATTTGTTTACATATGTTAAAATCCAGTGTATGATTTTGCTTATTATAATAAATTGGTTTAGCCTACTTAAGTTTCCGTTCGTTCCAGTTGTAGTAATAGCGTCACTAGTATCAAGAAGAATTACGCGCAGAGTAGATGATTCATGAAGAACAAATGAACTCGCCTAAGGAAGGGTTCAAAATAATTTGAAAACCAACAATTTAGGAAAAAGCAAATAGCGAATACATCTCTGGCATTGTGATTATTTCTCGTTTAAATAATATCATACTGAATATTGGAAGTCTGACCAGTTCTAATGGGTTGGTGTCTGACAAAATCTCTTCACGGATTCAAAAAGCTCGTTTGGCTTTTGCCAACTTACGTCACCTATGGCGAAGACGAGATATCTGTATATCAATTAAGGGACGGGTATACTGCACAGAAGTTCTCTCTGTTCTACTTTAAGACTGTGAAACGTGGCCATTAAGAGTGGAAGTTACTCGTAAGTTACTATTATTTGACCACAGATTCCTTAGAAATATTGCTCGCACTTGCTGGGATCACCGGGTAAGTAATAGTGAGGTTAGATGCAGGGTATTAGGGAATGATGGTAAATCAGTTGATGAGGTCATGAATCTTCATCGACTGAGATGGTTGGGCCACGTGTTACGTATGCCTGAACACCGATTACCACGACGCGCAATGCTGACTAGTGTAGGGGATTGTTGGAAGAGAATTAGGGGCGGCCAAACCAAAACATGGCATCAGTGTTTGAAGTCACTAACTTCTAGTCTAAGCCTTGTTGCTAGATGCAGACTACTTGGTTGGGGTCCGCGTGACTATCGTGACCAATGATTGGAGACTCTGGGTGACATGGCTTAGAATCGGTCAAAATGGCGTAGATGTAAACACTCTTTTTCTTCATTGAACCATGAGATTAAAATTGCTTTGTGTCTTTCTTTCTACCAACTAATTCTTTCTTCCTGTAGTGCATCCTTATACACAATCTTTCTTTTATGTATTACTACCATTGAAGTAACCACTTCTATGAATCCGGTGTCGATCTTGTTGTGTTAATGAGGTATGGGAACTTGGACCGATGCATAAATGTGCCTAGTCCTACGTTGTAGCTGACTGACTGAAATTTTGGACTACTAAATTAGTTCATCTCATTAAGATACAATAAATCACTGCAAAAGCAGAACATCAGATTTTATTATTTTCTGTCTAAAATCTTCTTGTTTGACTGCTTACAATTAACTTGCTTTGATTTCTCTGTCCTCGGTGTTGAGACTAGAATTACTTATAGTTTAAATAAATATAATTTAGTACAGTCAATTTAGGAAATTTATTCATTGTGCTTTTTGAAGAAAAACCTGTGTAGACTTAAACTTTTTTCCCGACTAGACTGATTATGTAATAAGAATTCTTAGCTATACTACAGAAGTAATTTGTTGAAACCATGAACTGATCAATGAAAACCAACAATCTCCACAGTCCCAAACTGAGAATTAATTTAGTTTTTTTCCGTTCAAGTTATTGTGAATGGCAGAGTTACTAGAAAACGTCAGTTTTACTTGTGGTTTGAATGTTATATACTAGTTAAAATATCTAATGTCATACAGTAATTGATTTTGTCAAATATATTGTTTCTTTTTTGTTTACTGTTTCTCTTAGGTAGTAAACGCAGAAAAATACCTATGGATATATGTACACTGCCATCAGAGGCTATTTATCGTCGTGCAGATGGTGGTCCCTCTATAATGTATATTCCTAAGGAGATTCATCCCATTGACTTAAGTAAGTTTTTAGTACCGTATATTATATTTTTATGCACTGCACATTAATTCAGTTGCAATAACAACTGTTCATATGTTTTACAGCCAGGTTTGTATTTTATTTAACTGCATAAAGCAAAACCTCTTTCAATTACACTAAAATATCAATATAGAAATATGTACGAAGAAAACGAACAGGTGGATTGTTGATAAAATACTTATTTTTTCAATCGTAGTCAATGTCTTAAAATTGTCGAAGCCTTCATCAACAAAACTGTTAAATATTTCAGTTTTTTTACCTTGAAGTTTCCCTTTTAAGGTTCATAGTAACAAAATTATAATCTCGATAGGTTTTGTAGTTCACGAGAACTCGGGTAGGGACAATCGAATGTATTGAAGCACAAATTACAGATTATCTCACTAAATTCTGATAACCATACAGTAAACTGTTAATTTGCAAAATAACAATCAATTGTCTCAATGTTAACTGTTCCTTCTGCAAATATCAGTTCATCTTCTCTGATTCCATTGTTCATGTATTTTCGTACCGATTGCGCTTCATTCCTGTTCTTTCCTTATCGATCTTGTGCCAAAATACATTTTATGTCTGATCATCACCATATACTACTTATGTGAATATAAGTAGACCATACCACAGTTTCACCAATACATTCATTCTTTAAATCTTATTTTACAGTATCAATAATAAAATTATTGCTTGGAATAAGCATTTTCAGATAATTGGATAGCTGCTCTCCATGGAATATGCTTTCAAATGTCATATGACAATGTAATAAATAGGAAATAAAAAAATCTGTAACTTATTTCGATGCAAGGTAAATGTGTCAGAAAATGCTTTAGCTTGAAATTTCCATGGTTTATTTTCCGAAATCCTCAATTCATCAAATTTTCGGAACAAAACCACAGCTTAATAGTAATAAAACTCAATCATCTTTAAAACTAAGAAAATTTTTAACGTTCTCCTTTGTTAGTTACCATGATAAAATTTAACAATAGCTGAAATCAGTTCCCATCATGAATTGACATGATATTAGAAAAAGTTAAAAAAAAGGACAATTAATGATGAGCAGCTGTTTCACGCTATTTGAAGAATCTCAAATGAAAGACTTGGTTGATGTAGCACGGAATCAAAAGTAGGCTGTTCAGTTCTTTTCATCGTAGAAAGCATGAGTCAATTGAAGCTAGAAATGATACATGAAATGATACATGGTAGACCATTGAGATGGGTTCCAACATTTACAAACGGCTAACATATTAAAATATGATTCTACAACGCTTATCCCATAAAGCAAAAATATTTTATGCTTTTTAACAAGATAGAATATTGCTATATCAACAAAGTAGCTTCTAGTAGGTATATTTATATGTTAAGTACTGATTTTTATTGGTACCTATTAACCCATTCATACACATCGGAACAAATGATGTTTGTTTTATGTGTTATATTTCCTGCGAAGTAATTTGTTTTTATTACTATTTAGATCGTTTCGATGCAGATCATCCACCTGTGCATCCTTTACAAGATGATTCTGTTTGGTATTTAGATACTCCAAGACGTCAGTATATAAGTTTTCATTCTGCAGCTTTACATAATGACATGGGTAAGGTGTTTGTTTAGTTCTCTGTTATTTCTATTCCTTATATGAATTATTTTTATCTTCTAATGACCACTTTTTTATTTTTAAAACATGATTTAACTATCTAAATTATATTTTGTTACTTGTGTAATAACTTAACAGGTTATGACATTCGTCATTCTATGTGCTTACTTCTTTATAGGATGACAAATCGGCTAAATACTAGATAGATGGGGAATAGGATAAATGTGTATGACTAATTTCACACATATCAAATTTACGCCTTGAAATTTTATCAAACTTTAAATACTTACCATTGTTAAGATTAAGTTTCAAAAACTTCCCAAAATTGTTAATTAAAACACGTTTTACACTAGCTTTGTAGCCCCCCGAACAATTTGTTTAAAGTATTGCTAGTTAACTTCATATTTTCAGAAGGGTTTTCGTGGACGAGTCCCACAATTAGACGAAACGGCTGTCCGGTGCTTCCAGGTTTTCCATGGTCGTCTAGTATCAATAGACTCATAAATTCAACTATAAAACTTCATATTTGTCTTCTTTTAATAGTTTTTGTGGATTTAAAATGTTCCATTGATATTATGTTAGGGCATTTTTAGTATGGTATCTGATCATTACTGGATAAAATAAGAAAATATTAGCCGATAAACATAAACTGTTTGTATTCCCTTCAACATGGGTTCCATTCATTTGAGTTTATAGTAGGTGTACACTTCATCCTGGTCATCAGTGAGAAATAACGGCTATAACAGATGTTAAACACATCTATTCAACGAATAACTATCTTAGTCACAATAAACCTCAGGACAATAGTACGTATTTTAAAAACAATTTCATTTAATCAAACATAACTTCACCAAATTCTAGAATACAAATATGTGAGCATCTTATACTTAGCATGTGTCTTGACATTGAGGTGGTGTACGAGGTTGATGACTGGAAACTATTATGGTGTTTATCACTGGAAATGACGTTTACTATTAGAAATCGGATCGAACTTACAGTGTGATGATGATTAGTATTCAACAGAATTTACACCATTACGATTTTCACTTAGTTAAGCTGTTTATATATTGATGACATTTCCGGATGTTTTAACTAAACTGAGATTGGCTTTTTAATTCATATTTGTTTTTCTCATTTTACTTATCTAGACTAAATAATATCAATCATTTATATTGTTTTGTGAAAAGGTTATCATAGACTACTATTCAACAAAGATAAATTAATTATTTTCCTCTAGTTATTTATGAAATTGATTTTAAGTAAAATCATTTGTATTATTTAATTATTTATTTAAACACATAAATATTGTTACAAAGAGGCACCAGATATATATGCGTCACACAAATCTCATTTGATTTGTGTGAGGGCTGGGATACTGCCCAGGTGCCCAAACTGAAACAGGTGGTTTTCTGAGGGGGCCTCACCAGGAGCCTTTGACCTAAAGATCTAATCCATAAGGTAGTGGAGCATCGTGAGGAGATGCAGTCCCATGGTATCCGGTGATCGACGATTGATTCATACGCCATTTCTTTCCTCAGGATGCTGGAGCCCATAAGCACCATTGGTTTGGATTCAGTGTTTTCCGACTCTCCTAGGTGAACCCTCCGTGCCAACCAACCCGTTTAAAGCGCCGGACATTCGCTTTTCGTCCTCTCAATTTTGCAAACAACACCCCTGCCACGAGAAGGCAGTGAGCAGGACTTCCCTAGCGGAGACTATATACTCGTGGCTATATGACAGTATTTGGAGAGAGTGAGAGAGCGAACTCTCCCCACTCTCGGTTGTACCAGGGCATTTGGGTGCACATTTGTACTAACTTTATTTAATAAGCATCTTCATTAGTCGGCCAATTACCTTGAAAAATGAGCTAAAGTACCATTTTTCACATGATTGCTAGACGATACAGTTCTTAAAATTTATAATTAGTACGATATCAATAGTAGATCTATACATATTTTATCAAAAAATATAACGCATTCAAAGTATAGTTTCATTTATTTAGTGCTCTTATATTACTTATATTACTATGAAATTTATTACCTAATTGTTGGTCATTGAAAAGTATGATGATAACATAAACCATCTGGTTGTGTGAACGAAATTCTAGCAAAACCATATACTTGATCTACAAATTTTCGTTACCATAAATAATAAGAAACATAAAAGACTATTGTTATAACGTGTGGCCTGTGTGCCCAATTAATATATGACGTGATAAGACCGCCAATCAGAGAGCGGCGAATTATCGATTGGACCAGTGACATACGAAACCCGTACGAGCTGTCTAGAGCACTTGTCAGTCCTGCTATCTGCCTAGTCCAGCCATTTAAGTCCAGAACACCAATATCAGCCTCTGCAATATGAATCCTTATTTTCAGACATACTGGGTTTATATACCGATCAGATAGACCACATCGTACAATAAAATAGAAAACAACATTTTTACAAGATTTGGCCAAATGTGGCTGTGAATAGGGGAAACAGTAATTAATAGACTGATGATAACTCAAGAACGGCAAATCACATAATAACAGTCTATGGGTAAAAATAAATTTTATAATAAAAGGAACATGAATATAAATAGTTAAGTTACTTAACAATTGCACAATAGAAAATATACGTATAGTATTGGTCTATATATAGTCCTCATAAGTTACCGTTCATAATTCTCTTCGGGATATAACAACAAAAGCAATGTTCTATCTTCTGAGAATTATAGTCAATTTGGTCATATTCTTTATTATTCTTTCACTGTTACGACACTATGAATAATGAAAACAGTACGATAATTCTTAGATAGATTTCTCAGCAATATATATATATATATATATATATATATATACTATCTTGGTTTAAAAAATTCACTTACTAAATATAGTCAACCCATCGCCAAAAAACACATATAAAGAACGATTAGTTGAGTTACATAAAATAAGATAAAACACCAAATAGTGTACACATTTATTTATGGTAACGTAGACATATTGTCTTGAATTTCAAGAATCTTAGCCATTTACACTTGAAAGAAGTAGTTTAGAATTATGTGAAACATCTATAGATCAAGGTATCTAACTTTCGTTATCGCATAAGTTAAATATTATTTCAAGCATATTATTATGTCACTATATATCAACTTCATTGACTATTAGAAGGCGTTTGACAGTATGGACAGGAGTACATTATGCAAACTTTTTCGACAATATGGAGTTCCTGATAAAATTATCGACTGTATCCAAAAATCATACAACGGACTACAGTGAAAAATCGTGCATGGAGGACAGCTGAGAGAAGCATTTCCAGTAAAGACGGGAGTCGGTAAAGGCTGTCTACTCTCCCTCTTTCTCTTTCTTTTGATGATTGACTGGATTATTAAGACCTCGACATCTGAGGGGAAGCACGGAATACAATGGACATCTCAGAACCAATTAGACGATTTGGACTTCTCACATGACCTAGCCCTCTTATCCCATACACACGAATAAATACAGACGAAGACAAACAATGTAGCTTCTGCGTCAACAGGCCTCAACATACACAGAGGGAAAAGCAACCTTCTCAAATACAACGCGAAGAACGCCAAGCCAATCACACTTGATAGTGAGTTTCTGGAAGTTGTGGAAACATTCACGCACCTGAGAAGAATCATTGATAAACAAGGTGGATCTGGTGCAGATGTAAAGGCGAGGATTGGCAAATCGAGGGTTGCATTCCTACAATTGAAGAACATCTGCAACTCAAAACAACTGTCAACTAATATCAAAGTCACAATCGTCAATATGAACATCAAGACAGTTCTACTCTACGTAGCTAAAACGTGCAGAACTACTTCAATCATCATCAAGAAGGTACAAGTATTTATAAACAGTTGTCTACTCAAAATACAAAACATCCATTGGCCGGATACCATCAGCAACAGTCTTCTGTGGGAGAAGACAAACCAGTTTCCAGCTGAAGAGGAAATTAAGAAAAGACGTAATTGGGTAGTTCATACATTGAGGAAATCATCAGACTGTATCACGAGGCAATCCCTAACTTGGAATCCTGAAGGTAAGCGGGAAAAAGGGAGGCCAAAGAACACATTGCATCGTGAATGGGAAGCAGATATTAAAAGAATGAATGTTAACTGAAGATGGGAAAGATGCTGATGTGCGGCCTATGCTCCTTCACGAGGGGTAATAGTCGTTATTAAGTAAGTAATATTACTGTGAACAATTCGATTACCATTCAAGTTTCAAAAATTTTTCAATGATCAATTACATATTTAAACCTTAAGGTGAACTTTCTATAAGCATTTTTATTTTCAAAATTTATAGCGGAAGAATATCGTCGCCGACATCATTGTAATTTACACTATCATACAATGATTATTAGTTTTCATTTTAATTTTCATTATAGATTCAATTCGTTTAGCCTTATCTGAAGGATATGACATTGATACAAGAGATAAATTTTATAAAACACCATTAATGGTAGCAGCACATCATGGTAATTTAGACACAGCTATTGAACTTATCAAATTAGGGTAAGTTAATTGTTTTTACGAGTTAATTTGTTACTTATAAATTCTCAATATTGATGTAATCTAAAAGTGATATAATTCTGAAATGAATTAATAGTTCATTACATTGTTATGTTTATTAAATTACCAAATAAATGACATCAATAAGCTAATACCAACAAAAGTTCAGAAGCAATGGACGGAATAGTATAGGACTGTACAACAGTGGACATACACGAACTTGCATCCATTAATCAAATCTAGGAATTCATATCTCTAGCATAAATGCCAAACCTCCAAACCACTGCACCAATATTTGATGGTGAACATGATTAACTCCGATCAATTTATGATACCGTGTATTCCTCATCCATGACCTGCTGTGTAAAACTATCTCACATCAGATATGTATGTACTCTACTGGTCGAGGCTTCCACTAGAACTTCAGGAGTTGCATCTTGAAGCTATTCACTAGGGAGTACATAATTATTATAACTACAGAAAGTTTCGTGAAAATTCCAGGTTTCCAAAGATGGTGTAGCTAAAATTAATTGGTGATTTAACTATCATTTATTGACTTATCACTGGTACTTCATTTAACTGAAATAATAATAGTACTGGTTACTATAGACTACTTCGAAACTGACAAAAATCTAGTTGTAAGTATAAACAAATTTAAATGTTGTCCTAAATGTTAAGACCAATATCTTCGTTTTTCCTTAAATATTCTAATTTCATGAATTTGTTGTAGAGCAAATGTTAATGCACGTGATAATTTCCGTTGGACACCATTACATCATGCAGCTCATTCAGGAATGATTGATATGGTTGAATTATTAATAAATAATGGTGCATTAATTGAAGCAAAAGCATTGAATGGTGCAACACCATTATTTCGTGCTATTGAATGTTCAAGACTTAATTTAGTCGACTATTTCTTATCAAAAGGATCTAAATTATTTGTAGAAACACGTAAAGGTGAGATAAACTGTTAACAGGGTACATTTTTATTTGAATTATTAAATTGTTTTATTGACTGATAAGAGACAAATTTAATTGTAAACTTTAAACTGAATTCAGATTACAACAGTTGACACGCTGATTTTGAGTGCATCCACGATCCCGCATTCGCGAGATTCGAACCCAGGACCTACCAGTGGATGCTCACTGCTGAGGAGTCCCATAATAGGACGAAACGGCCTTCCAGTGCTTCCAGGTTTTCCATGGTGGTCTGGCTTCAATTGGCTCATCATCTCAACTATGAAAATACTGAAATCTCCACAAAACTCCTTCTGCTTTTAGATTTTTATCTATTTAAACCATATCTTAGTGTGGTAAGTTATTATTCGCAGAGTTGCATTCCGTGAGATGAATAGTTTAACTATGAAGCTTTGATTGACATGACCAAACTGCTCGGCTCAAAAGACAGAACTCAATCTAAACTATACACTGAAGATGGAGATTTACATCATCTCAAAGTAAATTGTAGTGATAAAGAAAATTAAATTGATTTTCAGATACATCTTCAGTTATCAAATTAGGACATAGAAACTTTAATACACTGATTATTTATTCCAAATGAAGTCAGCCAAATTAATAGATAATTAGTGAATTTGTTTTGTAAGTTAAAAAGTGGACTGGCGTATTTTAATTTGTATAGATTACATAACAGAAATTCAATTTGAAAGAACTCATTTTGGTATAAGTCTGAATGTCTATTTTATTCAGAATTAAAAACTTTTTATATTCGATTCTCAAGACTAACTGATAATTAGAAAGAGGTTTTGTGGAGATTTCTGTATTTTCACAGTTGAAATCATCAGTTAATTGAAGCGAAACTACCAAGGAAAAGCTGGAAGCACTGGACGGCCGTTTCGTCTTATTGTGGGACTCCTTAGCAGTGCGCATCCAAGAACAGTTGCTTAACTTCATAGATTGTTTGAAGTTTGACATTAACTCAGTCGTCTAGAGGTTAAGTGCTCTTGCGCAAGACTGGTAAGTCCTGGGTTCGAATCTTGCGAAACAAGATCGTGGATGGGCACTGTTGAGGAGTCCCATTGGAGTTAGATCAATTTATTAGGTGAAGATTTTTTTAAGACCCAGTATAATCAATCAAAAGGCATTTATTTTATCGATGATCTATCAATAGAAAATCATTATAATATTTACAGATAAGCATTTTTCATTAACAGATAAAATAATGTAACAGATCTGGATGTCATAAAATCAATATTTTATACGTATGACATCTTATGGATATCCCTGAAGTGAGCCTAATAATTAATGGCGCGTTACCGTTCGACAATAAACACCATTAGGTTTTCAAATTTTATTCAATGGACTTGTATTTCACAAGTATATAGATACATGTATCATACTATTATAGATTGTATCTGACTTAAGTGGATGACTTCATGATCGAGAACATGATCTCTCCAAGTAGGTAAGAAATATATAGGAAGAAAATGACTGTAAGGTAATTTTTATTTTATTACAGGAGAAAACCCATATGTAGTGGCATTGAATTGGTCTGATCCAAGAGTAATAGAACATGTACATGATAAGTGGGAATTAGCACAAGAGGCAGTTGATAAACAGAAGAAACAGGGAAGTGCAAAACGCAAAGTAAGTTTATTTGAATGTGATTCATGATAAGACAATACTTTGAAAACACATAATTGAGTCAATGTAAAAAAATTTATGTAGTTGTTGTTAGGTGCCAATTTAATCTATCACTAATGCTTGAAACAGAAGACCCTGATCCACAGGTTTCAGTTATATTTCTGTTATACTATCTTCACGATTATCGTACTGTTATTGTCTTTGCAGGATTACTTTACTTCTATGGTAACATTTCATAAGCAGAAAATTTTGTCGTTTTCAATAGCTGGTTTTGATGGCTTGAACTGATTTTAATTAAGGCAGTAAAAACTCTGAAAAATAATAAAATGTATCTGTTGGAGATGTTAGTGGTTATCATGATTCAATAGCACAATGAACTAGACTCCAGTATTGAAGGCAGTAAGTTAGACACTCACTAGTAGCATCAACACCGAAATAAAGTATATTCACCTAATGATTCCTAGAATGGATATAACGCGACTCCTAGATTTCTTTTCAAGATATTTTCCAGAGGTGTAATGTTGTATATACTACTTTCATTACATATGACACTCTTCTTTTTATTTCTTCGCAACTATGGTGTTTCAGTTTTTATTGGCACATTCTACATTCTTGAGTTTTGACAAGTAAATAAGTCCCAAGATTATAATTAAGAGTTTATAACGTCATACAGCCCTATGATTTTTCAACCAATGAAAGGAATAAGTCACTTGACGATATTTTGAAGTTGAATGAAATAGTTATTGTCAATGACTAAAGTTTAATTTGTGAGTCTGCTGAAAATTCAGTGATGAGCATAAACCGTAATTGTTAATCTTGATGTTCATTGACCTAGAAGCTACGCAATTGAAAAAAAAACGATAGATATATATCATGAAACCACAAATCCACTTGTTACCTTGTGAAAAACGTTAAGTAGAAAAATTAAGATATTCATTTTTATTCGAATGACTTTCTATCATGTAGATGCATTCATCTATTAAAAGTAAATATCCTACTAATTCAGTGCGAACCACCTTATGTACAGTTGTATTTCCAAAGGGGGACTTTAAGGTTTCTAATAAAAGAATCTATGAGATTTTGAAATTAAAAAAAGTGTAGAGTACTGAATAATGGATATACTATGGAATAATATAATTTGTTTGAATAATATCTACTCTCTAGACTGAATTTTTGATTGAAACAGTTAAATGTGAATCGATACTACTGTAGTGTGGTCTATTTATATCCATATAAGTAGTATATGACGATGGTCAGACGTAGAATGTATTTTGGCAGAAGACCGATAAGGAAAAGTAGGAAAATGCACAAACAATGAAATTAGAGAAGATGGATTGATATTTATTGAAGGAACATTGAAGATTGAGACATTTTTGAGATTATTTTGCAAATCAACTGTTTGCTGTATGGTTATCAGAAGTTAGTAAGATAGTTTGTAATTTGTGCTTATATACATTCGATTGTCCCCAGTCGTATTCTTGTTCACTACACTACATGTAAAAACTGATACTAAGTAGAATAGGTATTTCATTTATTGAATTAGAATTTTTATATAAAGAATATTAACACAAATATAACAATGATTACATGTTATAAACAATTGAAGCAATATCAACTTTGTAGGTTTATTCACTAATAAATCAAAACTAATAATTCAATTATCTCATGATTTCAACTAAAAAAATAAGGAAATCACCGCAAAACCTCCTTCTGATAATAATCATATGCTCACTAATGACTGGCTCCAAGAGATAATTCCTAGAGTTCTAGTGAGAAACAGTGACCAGTGGAGTTCAACCGGTTCTGCTGTGAGATAGTAACTCACTGAATACAATGGTGGACGGTTGCTCAATTTCGTGGATTGGTTGAAGTTAGACATTAACACCGTTGGATACCGGCCAGCCCAGTAGTCTAGAGGTTAGGCGCTCGCGTGCGAGACTGATAGGTCCTGGGTTCGAATCTCGCGGGCTCTGAATCGTGGATGTGCACTGCTGAGGAGTCCCATAATAGGACGAAACAGCTGTCCAGTGTTTCCAGGTTTTCCTTGGTAGTCTATAGCTTTAATTGACTCATGATTACAACTATAAAAAGAAACCTTACCATATTGCTTATCATATCAAAGATCAGGCTCTTTTCAATTCTTAGTATTTGTATAGGCACATTAGTCCAATGAAATAATATTTTTAGTAGGCTTTCTTTCCAATTTTCAAAAGGAAAATTAATTTTATTGCTGCCTTAAGTATATTTGAAATACTTTTATTTCATTATATCATACCTCTTGTTTACAATATAAAAACAGAGATAATAAAGTGGTAAGAATTTGAGTTTTTCGTTTCTCATTTCATAATCACTATGGTTAGTAAAAAGTTATTTAATTAACTTGATTTTCTTTTATAGCTTATTCAATTGGTGATTTTCAATAGTTAGCTAATTTGAAATCTTTCCTTTTCTTTTTTTGTTTAACATGAAACAATAACTGTTCAAATTTCGATACAGCAATGAGAAGATAGAGTAGATCTAAAATATTTGTATTTGTATTTGCGCAGTACATTTCGAACAATCTGGTCACATGTATATACTTGTCAAGACATTTTATATGAAAATTAATAAAGGTTAATGAAATTAAATTTCAATAGTTGAGATCAAAAGTCAATTAAAGCTAGACCACCATGGTAAGGCTGGAAGCACTGGATGGCCGTTTCGTCCTATTGTGGGAGTCCTCGGCAGTGTGCATCCACGATCCCGCCTCTCGAGATTCGAACCCAGAACCTATCCTTCTCACACACGAGCGCATAACCTCTAGACCACACTGAACCAGAATCCAACGGTGTTAATGTCTAATTCAAACAATCCACGAAATCGAGCGACACAGCTGAGGAGTCCCACAATAGGATGAAACGATCGTCCAGTTTATTCAGGTTCTCCATGGTGGTCTAGCTTCAATTGACTCATGATCTCAACTATTGAAATTACTATAATATCCACAAAACCTCTTTTGAAATTAAATGAAAGTTCAAGTGAACAAGGGGATAAAGGGAATAGAAAAAATCTTTTCAAATCGTATAGAATGAATAAGATATTGTCTCATTACCCTAGGCCATAAAATGACTTAAGGATTATTGGGATAAATTCAAGGTTACTATAAATTGTTTTTGCGCACATAAGGGGTTTTTAATTTACGAATAGCTAAGGCTTAAATAAATCTGAGAATTTGTCCTTGACAATATCTATACGTTTTAAAAGCTGTATTGATGTCAATTCTATGCCTCATTTCACTTATGTGTTTTGCTATTGATGAACATGGTTTTCTACTTCCCACGTTGATCGGATCATTTGACATTAACTAGTTTTGAGGCCATCCACCTATATGTTCCATGACCCTTCATTTCATTGCTCGATTACTCCTCCCTATGTATGTGTGTTTGCACAAACATGTGAATTGGTAAATCCAATGGGATGTGATGTAACCATTTGTTCATTGTCTGGGTCTATTTGGAATCATGAGCTTAGACTTTTCAATCGCATCCAGTTTAGCAGCTTAATAGGTTTTTCTTGATGGCTGTTTTCAATCTCTGTCTTAAAACCACACTGCTGGATTCATCTCTGTATGGTACATAAACCTTTCTCTTTGGGACAGAATAAACAAGAGATCTTAGTGTTGACCGACTTTTGCACCTATTTATGAACTTTAGTGAATAACCATTTGATGTTAGTATGTCAGTTAGCCCTGACAAGTATACGTGTGACCAGATTGTTCGAAATGTATAACTCAAATACATCGCATTTTTCAAATCAACTCTGTCATCTCATTGCTCTGTCGAACTTTACAGAAGGGACTAATTACTTTAAACTGCTCAAGTATTGAAATCTAGTCAGCAAGTTGAAATCAAGTTTCGGTTAATTGATCAGTCATTCACACATAAGTAAATCTGTTAGCAATTAAGGATAAATTCATAAATTACACTAAACTAGAGTTTATCTATTATAGATTATAGAGCATTTCATCTGACAAATCAAACACTGATTTATAAAACCAGTTGGTGGTATTGTGTACTTTATAAGTACATCTGATTATTAGTTCAAACTTTCTTTTAGGTAATAACTTTCAATCTGTTCATATAGCAAAATCTACAACAAAGATAAGTGTATATAATAAACCCCTTATAGATTAAATTAAAAAGTTGAATATGTTTTGTATATAGTTATACAAAACAAAAAAAGCAGATTCGAATGACTAAATGGAACGGATAATAAACATTTATTGCCCCCCCCCCTATTGCTAAAAGTACAGTTGAAACAGCCACTACGATTGATCTCAAGTCACACTTTGTATTATTGTATAGAAGTGGTCCACGGTGAAACTGTAAACTTGCTGAGAGTCTAGTCAGACGAATATAATATTCACTTCAGGAAAATACTTGTTCAAATGAAAGTCCGTACAAATATGTCACACATTATTGTTCCAGTCAAGATTGCTTAATAAAAACTCATTCTGTGAATCAAATTTTCCATGACAATTTAAATGCTTATTGTCGTTCACTGAGTTGGGAAAAGCATAAGCAGTGTATCTGAAACGTCTATTGGTTCACATAGTACCCGCAAGTTCTGTTTTAATTACGATTCTTTACGCATAAATTCATAAGTTTACATTATCAAATATCCCTTAATTAACAAACTTGCCGTCCAATGCTTTCAATGGTGGTTTAGCTTAGATAGACTCATGAATTCAATCCTCATTATGATAATAATCATATGTTCACTAGTGACTAGCCTCAAGATGGATTTCCCGGAGTTCTACCGAGAAGCCGTGACCAATGGAGTCCAGTCCGTGTCAGGTGTAAGACAGTTATCCACCTCAGATAATGGATGAAGGGTTACTCAAGATCATGGATCTATTGAAGTTAGACATTAACACCGTTGGACGCCGACTCAGTGGCCTAGAGGTTAAGCGTTGGAGCACGAAAGCGAAGGTCCTGAGGTCGAGCCCCACGTGCAGGCTCGTGGATGCGCACTACTGAGAAGTCCCGTACTGAGACAAAACGACCGTTTAGTGCTTCCAAGTTTTCAAAGGTGATCTAGCCTAGATTGACTCATGAATTCAACTTTGAGGAAAAAATTGTCTAAATTAAGTGTTCCAAACTAAATCGTACATATTGTTCAGAATGAGAATTTCGTATTTCGAATTGCTGTTAATCAAACAATGTATCAGTATAACATACATTTAGAAGTACTTATTAATTTTATAAAACTATAATTTCACATCCTAACGCTTAGTTTTCGTATGAGCAATTGCACAATCTAATTTCTTAAATATATTTAGTTCGTTTTGAAGCATTTCTATTTGTATACAATTTCCTTACAGTCAGTCTAATCATACAAGTAAACTTTCTATGTACACTGAACCATATACTGTGAGCGCGTTTACAATAAGTATGAAAATATATAAATTAAGAATTGCTCGTTTGTTTAAATTAACTGAAGTCGTAAGGATTAAAATTAGCGGCTATTATCTGTTTATCGTGTAAAATTACTGCTATTCATGTACCTATTTTTTTCTTTATCGTTAATAGACAGTCGATTGTTATTCCTTCGAATTACCGTTTTTTTCTGCATACGAAACAAATTCATTAATCTGATAAATAAACTGACCTTCTCTGTAGCACCACATAAGTGAACCTGCTATATTGTTTCTTGTTAGCTTATATTTCGACAATGAAGGTCAAGATTCATTCATAACGATTAACAAATATTTTAAGGCCTTATAAGAATACTTTTTCATATGTTATTTACATACAATTCTAGCAGTAACTGATTAAATTCCGTCAAGAAAGTTATATTGACTATCATACTGGCAAATTGCAATAGTGAACATCAAAAACTTATCCATAGTTAAATCAATAATACAGATGATTGTAGCTGAACTGTGTCAAATTACCTAACATTTAAAATTAAGTTCTCAACTCTTGAGTCTCTGACATAAGTTTTTGATGTGTGGGCGAGAATGACAGTGATTGGTTGTCTCGATGAGTCAGACATTAAATAGGATGACAGGTGTTATATGTTATATATATTCCCCTATCCTTATTATGTATTGACACTTGATGTTGGACACTTATTGATTGACTGTTCTTTGTGTAGGATTTTGGTGTGGAAATATATTGACGTTATAGTCAGGCTAATCTCGTGTTCTTGATCTGAGTTCTGTTGAAGTCCTGTAGAATAGACACTGGGTGGGAAATCTAGTGTAGATATTCGTCTAAGGTAAATTAATGTCCCACTTACGTGTAAAAAGTGAAAGGACTGTTATAACAAGAAACCCCCAGCGTTATAATCAGCATCTTCTCCTTTAAGCATATAACAGTTTTTCAAACTTTGTAAGTGTAACTTGTAGATAGATGTCAACAAGAATTAGCTGCCAGTTTCCTAGAAACAATACAAGATAAATATTACATGAAATTTAGCTAAATAACTCGACCACATACACTGATGTTAACAAATTTCAACTGTATCTGAAGACTAGAATGTATAAAACTGACTATCTTCTTCTAGAATTATATTTCTTTTTTACTGAATGACATTTAAATAGTCATTTACTACCTAACAATTGTCATAAACATATTACTTATCTCTGATATATTTTAAATTTTGTTCCATAATCTTTTTTTCAAGAGACCAACTACAGCTGGATCGACTAGTTCAAGTAAACGTTCAGTTTCTCCTATTAGAAAATTCACTCCACCAAATAATTTACCTGGTTCATATTCAAATTTAATTCAAAAACATTTTGATTTATCCTATTTAATCAAACATACATATTCTTTAGAAAAAACTATAAATAGACAAGATATTCGTATATGTCCTCGTTATCCATGGCTACCTAAATTAAATCGTGAAGAAAGATTAGCTAAGTTAGCTGAAGCACGTGAACGATATGGATGGGATTATGGTTTACCTAATGTACCATCACACTTATTCGATAAGCATTTAATGAATCGTTTTCAAGAGATTGAAGTGAACAGTGGAGAACAATAGGAAATGTGACGCCATTTTTCGCCACTGATGTTATTACTTTATAATAACAATAGTAATAAATTAAGAAATTAATTAAATTTGATAATGAAATAAATTAGTATTCTTTTTCTAGTAGACTTATTTTACTGAATTTATACTATTTGGATGAAGTAAGCAGAGGTTAATCGAATAAGTTAGATGCTTTCCTAGTTACATGAAGAGAAATATTTAGACACTGGAGAAAACCAACTGGGAGTTTACGGCTGGTTAATAATAAATATACTTTAGTTGTAACAATAAAAAAACTGGAATTGTTTAAACTACAACCTTCCTTTTACTCATTAAATTGAAGTGAAACACTTGTAGTCATCTATACTAATTGTTACCAGGATGATTTAAACAACTGAATGACAGAGACCGGTATCTGAAATATAAGTAAATAAACATGTCTTATTACAGAAATCATAATTTCTCCTAAATCGATAACTAGTGAATAATCGGCCAAGTGGAATCAGTAGTGAAAATGATCGGATGTTTGGTATAGGTCATATTAATATAAGTTAGTAGAATAACTGACACCGCCGGATAAACTTGATGAGATATTAATTCAAAATGAACCCTGATGGTTGCCATTAGAATAATTACTGAAGAGAAATAATCAAACATACATATGAACTCATTGTATTGACCATGAATAAAACGGATGAACATATGTGGAGGATTTATCGACAAGCATATCACATCATAGACAGGTACGAAAAGTACCTAGAAAAGTAAATCATAACAAATAGATCAATGAAGATAGATTTAAGTAACCATTGAAAAGAGCCTGTCTACATCCAGTTTCAAATAGTGGCTATCCTCGATTTGTCAAATAAATGAACACAATAAAGATAAATAGATTACTCACGATTTGATAAAATCTGTTGAAAACATCATTCATTCTAATCTCTTATTACTTACTAAAAATATAAACCACCAATAAAGGGTCTTTTTGGAGTTGCAGATACGATAGATTTACCGATCTCTTAGCCTTAAACGCTTTAGACAAGAGCAATTTATTGTTCAAAATATCCATCTTGCTGAAGTTTCATATGCACTACAACTATATCAATATCAGATGGCTGGTGAATATGATGCGTAGTTACCATTGTACAATAAAACGCACAGAAGCAAGTTCATTATTAATAAAGTTAAGACTGCTAAAAATACTACGGTGGAGACGATAGTTTCTTGTTCATAGTTGTAAGTATATCATTTCAACAAATTTTATTTGATGAATTCTGCTTCGATCATTCCTAGTTGTCCATCCCATGGATTTTCAGAGTCAATAAGGTTGAAATGCATTCGATATCCGTATAATTGAGATTTCTAAACTGATGACATTTTTCTAGTAACTTTTAAATGACCAATGCTTTTATTAGCTTGCAAAATAGTTATGTAAGAATTAGAAGACAGTATGATTCATTCCTCATTACCTCATTACTTTACATTTCACTGAACTACAAAAGATTATTAGTTTACTGAATGCACAACTCTTTTCATAAATTTAAAAATGACTAGACGAGAATGTACTTGCTCAATCAGTCTAAAAGTGAAACCAATTGACCATTACATCAGTTACTATAAATCAAAATTTAAATTAATTATAAATTTACGCTTCATTTAACCGTATCATGTAGGATTTAGTGGCCCAATATGTGACTCCAGTTAGAACGTTTCTTATTGTTGTCGAAATACACATGTCGCCAATCCTCGTATACAATTATCGACTTAGACTGCGTTAGTGAATAACAGAATTAAATAAATGAAATACGAAAATGGATTTCGAACACGTTTATTTTATACAATTATTGATCCAGACAGACGATCAAAAAACAATGCGGAGGGAGCGGAACGAAACGATGCGCAGTGAAGCTATGTGAGCTAACTCAATTTAACCAAGCGTGAATCGGTATTTATGGTTGAACAAAAATAAGTTACAGACACAGAATGAGTAGGGTAAGTAAATAGCACACACACGACAATATGAAATACGGTCAGGATTAATAAACGGGCAGCTCCTGCTTCAGTTTGGACAGTATCACAGCCTTCACACAAATCAAATGAGATTTGTGCGGCGCATATCTATCTGGTGCCCCTTTGTACCAATATTTATGTGTTTAAATAAATAAAAGTGAAAATAAAAATGTGGCTTGATAGAACCAAAAAATCGGTCTGTCCAGAGGCTAGAATAACATGTGGGTTTGACATGGTACCAGCCACTACAAAGATACAAAATTACTTAAGTGAAAAAAATTCTAGATTTTAAACTACATCAGAAACCGTAAAGTGATGAATTAATTGTCGAAACACTGATTACTGTCAACCATTGCATCTCAACAACTGAACAATGCATGGTTCCATCATTTTCGATCAAGGCGGCCTAGTAGTATCACTTAATCTACATAATACTGAGAGAATGAGAATCAAAGCTAAGCATATTATCCAGTTGTCCCCAACTACTAGGTTACACACTCTTCGCTTAAATAACAAAGAAATCCACAATAATCTGAAGGCTTTTATTTTGAATTTGAGAGAAACAGAAGCGGATGAGATATAAATAATTGTTCATATACACAACATAATGAATAAGATTACAATCTGTTGATCAATAATAGAATAAACATATTTCAATACTGAAAAAGATCAAACAAAATAAATAATTAGATGAGCTGTAATACTACTACTATCATTAGTAGTAGTAGTAGTATTAATAACATTAAGAATAGTACTTTTTATAAGGCGCCAGCTGTTATATGAGAAATTTTCATTGGATAATAATTTGTCCGGTCAAATTGTTGCACAAAAGATTTCAATCGACTTACATGAAATGAACAATGTTTCGGTGTAATATTACATTCATTTGATAAATGATATAGATTAGATGAATAATTGTGATTATTGTTTGTCAGTGAACGGTTACTGCCACTGCTGCTCAATACCGACTGACCATCAGATGTTTGTATAATGAACCAATAAAAAAAGATATCTTCACATGTATCTAATTCATCTATAAATGCTTTGATAGGACTTGCTAAAAGATCTGTATATAGATGTAAATAATGCTGATTTTCCGGATAAGATGGGAAGAAAAAAACAAACATATTGTTAGTTTATTGACATAAATTAAAATTAGCGGTTTACACAGCTATAAGTTACACATAAAATGACAAATACCAAAAGCTGAGAATTTTAAAAAATAGACAATCTTGAAGCCCAATGCATTATAATTATTTATTTAAACAGATAAACATTGGTAAAAGGAGGCACTAAATATATATGAGCCATATGAATCATTCGATTTGCATAGGGGTTAAAATACTGCCCGGGCGACCAAACCGAAGCAAGTGGTTTTCTTGGGGGGCCACACCCGGAGCCTTCGACCTAAAGGTCTAATCCACAAGGCAGTGGGAAAACCTTAGGAGATGCAGTCCCATGATAGCTGGTGACCAACAACTGGTTTATAGGCAATTTGTTTCCTTAGGATCCTGGAGCCCATGTGCACCATTGGTTTGAAATCAGGGTTTTTCAACCCCTCTATCTAGGTAGATCCTTCATATCTACCAACCTGGTTAAAGTGCCGAACATTCATTCTTAGTTCTTACACAGTTTATATACTATACTACTATACTATACTGTTTATATTCGATAATTTTGATGTTTGATTATATTTCGTTGAAAAAGCTTGGACTAGATTGCCGAGTGAAACGTTGAATTTACTTCAAATTCAATCGGTGAGATTTTACAAACATATTCTTCCTACTTAATTACATTTATTATTACCATTACCTTAAATTCATCAAAATCACTTACTTTATGGAAAAACACTGATGAAAAACTAGCAGAAAAGGATTGATTGTTATCAAATAAATTCCAGATAGATTGATCAGATAAGCTTACTAGTCGTTCAGGATTTTGGCACCATAACTACAAAGTAATAATAATTATCACAATAATAATAATAAAATCAGTATTGAACATTTTTATTGAGGAGTAAAGTTTTTTTTAAAAGTTTCAGATGAGGTTAACCACAATTGAATGGTTAAAATTTCGATTGAAGAAAATGTCCTTTGTTAAAATCAGTCTTTCATATTAAGAGAAGAACCTGAGAGCGAATGTTCGTTGAATTAATATGACGAGATGAAAATAATAAGATGAATATAATTGGGATGATTTAAAGATTCAATTTTTAAACAAATACTGACTTTTAGATTAATATTACGAATTTTTCTAGTAAGGAATTAGCATATTGTTATATCGTGTAAGTACGTGTGTGCGTACCCTGTTATATATGAGTGATAAGAATGCCAATTATAGAACAGTGTGTTTATTGATCGTAGCAATGATACACAAAAGCCTTATGAGCAGTTTTGAGTACTTATCAGTCCTGTTATCTGCCTAGCCCAGCCAGTTAAATCCAGAACACCAATATCAGCCTCTGTGGTATGAATCATTATTCTCAAACATACTGGGTTTATATACTAATCAAACAGACCACATCGTACCATAAAATAGAAAATAACATTTGTACAAGGTTTGGCCAAATGTGGATGTGAATAGGGGGAACAGTAATTAATGGACTAGGGATAACTCAAGAATGGTAAGTCGTATAATAATAGTTCATAGATCAAAATAAAGCTTAGGATAAGAGGATCACGAATACGAATAGTTTAGCTACTTAAGTTACAATAGGAAATATGTATATATATATATATATATATATATATATATATCACATTGGTCCATAAACAGTCCTCAAAGTTCTCATTCGTAATTCTCCACGGGACACAACACATATAAGTAGAGTTTTTAAAATCAGAAACTGGATTGAATTGCATTGAATCATAAACTGGTTATTATGGACAGAATAAATTTTGACTCAATAACTGAGTGATAAACTCGTTAATAGTAAGATTTGAAGGTATTAAGCTCGGTTTAAATCGAGTTCATGACTGTCGGTTAATGAATTCGAAAGTACA